CAAGTGTTTTGCCCAGTTATTACAGTTAGACCGTGACAGTTATCCGCATTTAATCATTTGTCTTTTCAAAGTTTTGTGCTTATTCGTTGAAAATTGTTCAGAAAGGCAAACAGTAGTATATTTCCATCTTAGTTGAACAACAAAGCCAGGTTGTAACTCACAACTACAGCACTGTAAGTTTTAACTTTTACCACCATTTATATTTAACTCGGCGATGACTTCAATTTAGATTTTTTCTTAAATAATCATAGTTATACAAGTGTTTTCCAAATTTAGATCGTAACATTTATCTGCATTTAATCATTTGTCTTTTAACGTTTTGTGCTTATTCGTTCAAAATTGTTCCGTAGTACATTTCCTTCTTAAGGCCCAGTTCAGACGTCGTGCTTCTGCTGTGCCGAACTAAATTCAGGAATTAAGTTCGACAAAAGCACGGCAGAAGCACGGCTTCTGAATCAAAGAAAAGGCTTTTGAATTAAGTTCGGCAAGTAATTAAGTTCGACAAGCGCTGCCGTGTTACACGGCTCTGGCACGGCAGCGATTCAAACGTCGTGCTTCTGCCGCGCTAAACAAAATTAATAAACTATATTAATGGATTTTGGCGAGATTGCTTTCCCACGGGGAGTTATGAGGAGAATTGTTACGAGGCATCAGTAAATCCTGAACTTGGTTCGACTCTGGCACGACGTCTGAATCAAAGTTGTTTTCCTGCTGTGCTACAGTCGAACCAAATTACAATTAAGTTCGGCATGGCCGAAGCACGACGTCTGAACTGGGCCATATTAGTTGAACAACAAAGCCAGGTTAAAACTCAGGTTGTAACTTACGACTATAACACTGTTCGTTTTAACTGTACCACTGTTAATATTTAACTCGGTGGTGACTTTAGTGCATTTGTTATTTTTTTGGAATTTTTTGTGTTGTTGTTTTTTCTAGCGGACGGGTTTCTTTCCTAATCATGAATCTTTACTTAATAAGTTCTATTTGAGGTATAGTTTTTCTTTCTGTCACTTACTATAAAATACAACAAAGTCTGTAACAATGCTAGAGACTTCAAGAACTTTGATAAATAAGTTAGTACAACGAAACATGTAGTCGGATTTTTTGTTTTAAATAAACTATTGTTGGACCCAAGTCTGGCTGTGTCGTCGTTGTTTGTTTCTAGGGTTTTCGCATCTAAACCGTAAACAGGCTACGACAGGGCAAGCAGGGCAAGCAGGGCAAGCAGGGCAACCAGTGAAATACCAGGTGAGCTTTAGCGCGTAAACATGATATCTTCACGCTGTGAAGATATCATGATATCCTCACACTGTGAAGATATCATTTTTGATAACCTATTTCTTTTGTCTCTTTTTAAAGAGAACCTACACTTAAAAGTGGATCGATGTATTTCTTGACAGTAAAGTATGATGGCGCTTGTTGAAAAACTGCGTGCTTATTTCTTGGGTAGGTCTTGTAAAGGGGACGCCACAAGCCGATTGGGAGACCTAAAATATTTTGTGTAAACCGACTTGAACCTCAATAGAATGTTTTCATTTACATGGCCAGTAGCTAGGCAAATTTATTAAATCAAAAGAAAGCGTAATCAAGAGAAAAGAGGACTGATTTGGGACACTAACATGGCCGCCGTCAGTAATTGGTTTGGGACATCAATATTGCGAACTTGACTTTAGGTGCTGAAGGGTCCTCTGAAGGTTGCATTGGTAGCCACTAGCTAGTAGACGTGGGAAACAACACCGTGATTCCACAGCATGATGACTCAGAAAAATTCTCGACTGGTGACCTTTACTTGTTAATCAATCGGCTTATTAGCAGATATATGCATGCAACCTACAAGTCTTCTTTTGCTTGTTAACACCTATAGCTCTTATAGAAATTACTGTGAAGAACCAAGAGCAGTCCAAAAACGACAAAACTCCCTAGTTTCTTGGTATCACAGATCGTTTGTCTGGCTTATACCACCCTCCGCTTTATTGACTGAACTCGTACTGAAAGAAACACAAACACACTTATGATCAACGTACTGACTTCGTTGAACAACCCGCCCCTCAGCAAAGGACCGGGTCGTCCTTGTACTGCTAGGAGGGGACTGGGGAGAGGGTACAAGAAAACGCGCAGTTGCCGATGGGAAGAGTTTGCATACTCACTGTACATATTAATTTTTCTAAAGCTCCTTACTTTTAATGTGCTGTTGTTTCATGGTATTTCTTTTTCCAAGAAGGAGCTTCATAAAGGGAGCTATTAAAAACGTTAAAGTACAACATTGCATAAAATCTTCAGCAGTTAAGACAGTTTTAATGTGGAAATACCCTAAATGAATACAACAAAAGTGATAGCACAACAAGTCACGTGCCTGGGTGCTATGAAATTGCTATTTAAGAGAAAAAAGTTCTCTTAACTAGTTTACACCTGTGGCCAAGTTTCACAAGGTTTCTTTAAAAGAATATAGCGGTGGCTGTGGCTCAATCCTTATCTTTACCAAGTGTTTGGGATTCTGTAGATGCTACACTGATAATTAAATATACGTCGTAGTTAGAGTCGTAAATTTTCTCTACTACATTCATGTCAATTTTGACCTCGATTACTCAATCGATTTTGGCCCATAATTTTTTGCGGTTGATGACAAATTAAAAACCTCTGTCGTCGTAGTTGTTGAGGAGTATTGTCTATGGGTCATTGCCGGGGCCAATGGAAATAAGATAGCACAACCTATTTTGCCAGACTTCAAAACAGTAGGTTCTGTGTTAGTGGTTGTTTACAACTTTACGTGAAGCTGACCAAACGAATCGCAGCCTAGAGCTCTAGGAATGAGATAGATAACTGCGCATGCGTGTAAGTGGCTTTTACTTTTCCTGCACCTTATCGTCTAACAAGGTAGTTAAGCCATGATGTTGGCGTGCTTTCAATTTTGCAGGTAGATTCCATGGCTTTTTTCACAAATAAAAAGGTATTGATCTGGATTATGGTAAGGCCGGGGGGGAGGGGGTAATCTCTATAGTGGCCCATACGAAGAGCCTTTAATCAATGCGTTTAAAAGACGCACTCGGTGGCTACATTATTTTAATCTATTAAATGTTAGATGAGAACGACAAGAAGACCTTTTTTGGTGAATTATTTTAGGAAGAGTTATGTCAAAGGGGCACCATCTTGAAATAGAAAGTATCGGAAAGGCGTACCTCTTCTCTTATAGATGGTATATATAAAAAAAGGAAGGGGGTGGACCTCAGGGTAAATTAGCTTCCCTTTCCCCACCCCCGTTTCGACAGATCATGGGTGTTAACTGTCTAAAGCGTATATGGAGTAAAAACTTAAAAGGTGATACCTACGAAGAATATAAACAACGCACAAAGAAAAAATCAAGTCCACATCGTTTAATTCATAAACCAAGTGCCACGCAATCTTGCCCACTAGAGTCTTTATAATAAATTTAGTCACTTATTAATTAGCTTTCTTGAAGAAAAAATGCTGGAAAATGTAAATTTCTTAATCCATGGGCTCCTGTCTATTTTTAACTGTCTCTACAATCCAGCCAAAGACGAACAAATCATGATTGACAAACTATCCATTCTTAACGGCCTGCGGCACGCCCAGTCCGAAGCACTACCCGGATCTGGGTAGTTAAACACAAGAGACAATAATGGACAAAGAGTGAATCTTAGGGCGTTGGCCGTCATATGTGAATTTCAGTTAAAAAGAACTTATATTTAGAGGTTGTAATTCAACGCAAGTCTTATTCCTGGGACGTCCGCATAATTAGTCAATTTTTTGGAACGTCACCAAGTCCACGCGCGTCGGCCTTCAAGCACTCTTTCCTCTGCAGAGGCTATCCCAATAAAAATAGCAAGAATGGAAAAATCCCCTCACATCGTGCCCCGCGTGCTTTATTTTTTTTCTCCCCAGCCTCCCTACATAAAAAAAGAGGCCTCTGCAGAGGAGAGAGCTGCAAGCAGAAAAGCAGAATATTTTAATGGCGACACAGCAAGAGAGCACAATGTTCCATTATTCTCTCTTGAAACACTTAATAAAGGTTTGCGGACCTCTCAGGAAACCAATTTCCGATTGATTTCAAACGTTTACAGTTGTTTTGGATAACACGCAACATGCGATGTCCAAAACGTCTTTGGAGTTTGGGTTTTCTGCGACGTCAATCAAAACTTGAAGGCTCGGCGCTTTCTTATTGGACCTCTTAGGAAACAGACGTTTACTACAACGGGTTCAAAAGGTCATGATTTGCGATTTATGATTGGTGGATTTCGATTCGTTTGGTGTGTTTCTGTCGGTTTCAAGGTTAGGGTGTTTTCAAGTTTTCAAGTTTTTGTTTTAAAGTTTAGATTCCCAAAGTGAAATTGTTCCAATAAAGCCAGCAAATCCCGAAGAAACGCTGATAAAGGATGGGTGAAAACGAATCAGTACGTTTCCGCCAACATTTAATTTTGCAGCTTCTGCTAGTTATTGCTGCCTTTATTTGACAAGCAAACATTGGATGCTATGTTAACGGTTTGATTGTCGTTGAAGAAAAACCCAAAATCCTAACACGTTTTTGACAACGCAAGTCGTGGGATATCTGAAACAGCTGTAATTAGTCTAAAAATAACTTTGGTAAAATTTACAACTCCCAAGTGCTTGACTGGGCGTTTCCCTGTCTGTGCATTTTTGTCTCTTTTTACTCTTGTTAGACGTTAGTAGTGTAGAATTTCTGCACTCGTTCCTCAAACGTCATTTCGCAGGGAAACCAGTCGTGGCGTCGCGAAATGTCAACTGTTTTCTTTGGCTACGTGTTACAATCTAACGATAAAAAATTCCTACTTCAGTCTTCAATGCGTTTACGTTTAACGAACGGCTACAAGCATATCATCAATCCAGCGACAGAAATATCTCACACGATACATCATCTCTCAAAACTTGTGAATGCCTGCTGCAATTAACCAGCAAGGATCATGAAGAAACTCAGGAATCATCCACGACACGGAATGGTATTTCCAGGAAACAAGTGTCTTGACTTAACGATATGACGCTGGCTGGACTCCTAAAAGAGTAAAAAAACATTTAAACTTAGCGCAAAAGTTGGTACTGTCACACATAGAATAGTGGATACTTTATTGAGATACGACGAATCCAGAGGCAGAATTACAAGTATGTACTAGGCATAGGCGTAGTAAATGTTAATAGGCTGATTTAGCAACGGTAACGGGAACGTCAGTTGACAACGGCGCGCGCAAATCAAACAACAGGCTTGACCAATGGTAGAGCGGCAAATTGGGCATCGGAAGTCGTGTGTAGTCCTTTCTGCGCGCTTTCCCGTCGCCAACTGACGTTCTCGTTCTGTTGCTGAATCAGCCTAATGTAAGAGGACGCCTATGACTGAGTAACAGGCCCACTAAACTAACGTAGGTGCGAGCAAGAACGGAAAGCAAGAGGGACGATACTTGCGCGCGAGAGGGTGGTTATGTTCGTAACATTGCGGATGAGAGGACAACAGTACCTGTACTAATAGGCTGATTTAGCAACAGACCGCGAACGTCATTTGGCGACCGGAAAGCGGGCGAAAACGACTAAACTCGACTTCCGGAAAATAAAAGGAAAAGAAATACGCCATCTTGTGATTTCGCGCGCCATAAACAATTTAATGTCGTCATTTCACTTCGTAGACAAGTAATGACGGCAAGGCGAAAGCGTAACAAAAATTTTGTAATGCAAATTGCCCAAATGCAGAGCTGCCGTTTTTCGTCTTTAACAAATTACTTTTGCAAATTATTATTTTTTTGAGTTCTCGTTGCCTCTTTGCCGTCGTGGTTTCCCTGCGTTAAGCTGCTTCATGAAATGTAAATTATAATTGCCCTGACAAAACGGCCACATGGAAATGAAAATGTAATGCTATCGTTCTCTTACAGTATGTTAAATTAAAGTCATTGACAGCTGTCAAATTAAGGAAATCCGCTGACCTTTTATCACATGACCATACCGCTTGCTAAGGTGCAATACTTGGGAGTATAGTTTTGAAGCTTGGCCAAGTTTGGTACTAAAGTATTTTGCGCCGACGTTGTCGTTGAACGGCAAGGAAATTGCTTTAACGGCTACTTTGACGTCGACGAAAACGATCTATGGACATTTAGCTAATCTTTGCACTTAATTTGACAGTGTAGGAGTTAAATAAAGTGATAAGGCTGACAAGATACTTTATGTAGAAGCCAGTGACATATGAACCAAATCACACCGAAGACCTAGTTTTTTTTCTCATGCCCACAAATCGTTGTGTTTTACAAATGCTTTTTGTATTACATAACTTGAGCATTAAAAGATACTTTAAAATATATAGCAGGTAGCGTGAACGAGCGGTTACAGCGCCGTACTTGTAATCCGGAAGTCTCGAGCCCTAGCCCCGTCCCATCCCTTCCCGAGTTCATATCCTCGGCTGAGCTTGTCAAGAGTCAGCTGGTTTGCCCATCTTACCAGCTGGGATTCCTAATAACCATGACATGTTCCATTTAATTGCTTGTTTTATCATCCCTGAAAAGCCCTTAAGGGGAGTGGATAATTAAGTATTCAAATTAATTTTAGTTAATTTAAAGCGACTGAAATGATACCTGCAGCAAGCCAAGCTACTGCCTTGCCTGAAAATGTTGCATCCTCGGCTTTGACGAAAAAGTCAGGTGTTATGACTGACTACGAAAAAAAAATTATAAAAAGTTTAGTTAATAGCGCTTACTTGTTAAGGAGCGCTTTTGTGGTTTTCACGCGAGTGAGGTCTCTCTCTCTCACAAATTTACTTATCACATGAAAGGTATTTGGTTTGGCAGACGTTTACACACATGCAGTTTATCTGAGAACATTCATTCGAATAAAAAATATGCTCACTTTAGATTCCGAATTCAAAATCCCGGGACACGTGAACAAACCAGGACAACTTTATTTCGGATTAACGCATCTGTTTTTAAACGGCAAGTACCAAAAATTTCCAGACGCAGGAAATACAAAATCTTGTTCACTGAAACGTACCCTTTGCGTACGTAGTTGCCGTGGTTAATCTCGATCTACTCAGACGAAAGCGCTTTTTGGATAAAGGGAGCTTCAGACTTATTTGGGGCAATTATTAGCAAATTAACGCATTTTTTGGAAATTGAAACTTACAAGATTGTGACATAAGTGCCTTTCCCACACCCTGTGTAGGTTTCTTATAATTATGTTGCTGATTTTATACCTCCGCGTTTTGTAACGTTTTTTTGTAAACAGTAGAATTGTAGAAGTAGTCTTTGTATCAAATCCCAAAATTACCTTCTCATTTTCTGGCTGAAAGATAAGGTCTTTGATTTGTTCAGTAAACACAGCTCCAGGCCAAAGCGAAACGCAGGCCACATTCTGTTCCCTCAGCTCCACAACCATGACTGCGGCCATTCGATCACACTGAAAAACAACAAAAAAATGAACGCAAATAAACCGTGTAAAATGTGGATGTTATCCACCGAGGCTAACGGCCGAGATCTGCATAATTCTTCGCATCATACGATAGCCGAATTAAATAATTGTTTTATCATCATTCAAATAATTTCTGCTTAACAACTTCTCGTAGATTTTCTCCAAAACTTTGGCCTATTACTCGAAACGGTTCCAGGGTATAAACAGAATGTTTTATCTTGCAGATACTCTTCAAAAAGTAAATAAAATCCATCAAGCAATTTGTTTTACGTATTTTGGCATTTTTTCAAGTCAGAAATTCGGCTATTTCGTCATGGCCGTGAACGCCAATTTTTTATAGTTCACTTGTGCCCAAGCAGATTCTCTTTCCTAATCAAATATACCATCGATCAACCTCGTTCCCAATCAAAATATGCCATCGAATCTATGGTATATTGATCGCATCTTCCAAATATGGTAAGTACTACTTGATTGGAGCCAATCAGAAACGGCGAAATACTTCGAATGAATAATAAAATATTTCGCTGAATGCCCGCACAAATGAGCCATGGACTTTGATTTCTTTTTGAAGAGCACACACTTGTGCGACTTACTGCAGCTTTTCCAACGCCATATGGAACGTTAAGGACATATCTTAATCCTCCTGGCGATGAAACGTTGACTATAAGTCCCTGTTTGGCTGGAACCATCATCTTGGCTGCATGACACGCGGCAATGTAATGAGACCTTACGGGAGAAAAGAGACACAAAGGACGCCAGATATAAGAACATTAGCGGGAAACATAAAATATTAATAGCCTTTCGCGTTAAGTGACGTATAACAAGGGTTAAAGTATTAACTTCTAGAGATATAGAAAATATTTAAACGAGAAAGGCAAGCAAAAGTCCACAAGCTTCTGTATACTACGAGAGCAAGAGGCTGCTATCTACCCTGCGAGTATGCAACCAAAAGCTCTTCTCTTTTGCAAGAGAAATCAAGTTGGTGGCAATGATTTTGATTTAATGTAGGCCAAAAACACTTCTACTTGTTTTCTCTGGCGCATTTTATTCAAGGCAGTCATTTTAAGTCACCAAATACACAATACTTTTAAAATAATTCACACACATCCCTCGGAGGGTACAAATCTTATCGACGCTTCTGAATGACGAGCCCAGTTCAGTGAAAACAGAGTTGAAACGTGTTTCATATTAAAGCCGCGATATAAGTCCCTTTCAATTACGCTAACTCTTACATTGAAGATTGTTAGCTGTCAACAGGGTCAGGAAAGCCATATAGCCCATGCAAAAACACAATCTACTCTGTGTTTTCACTGTCACGCCATCAAAAATAAAAATGCAAACCAGTCCATGCAGAAAGTCCAGAATCTGGGAAATGAAAGAAGATAAATGTACCAAAAGCCTCGCCAAGAATCAGGTCTGTGCAATGATTCATATGCGTGATATTCGGAAAAACGTTTTACCCAAATTTAAAAGGCTTTGTATAGAGACGCCACATTGATCGTCCCTTTGAGGGGCACAACTGATGGCCGCCGGAAACCAACAGAAACATCTTTTTTTGAGTTTTCCTACTTATGCGTGAATTCATCGCTAGAGGAACTCATAAAGATTACAGTAATATTCAATCTAAGACAACAAAATGTTTAGATAGCAAAATAACCCGCATAAGAGCTTTCCCGGCCGCCAGCTAAATGCAGCGCCAAGCAAAATCCTGGAAATTCAAGCGTCTTAGTTCGCAAAACAAAGAACCCTTTGCAACCAAAAATTTGTGTTAAAAAAGGTTTTTAGGTGCTGTAATACCTCATGAAAGTAGAAGCTCAGAAGAATCGATAGTTTCTTAGTTTGAATTTTGGTGACGTCATGTGGAAACCTCTAACTGGAATATCACCTCAGAAACAGTTTTAAAGGCCCAATGAGTTTCTCAAACCGCGGTCTAACCTATTTTCAATAATAACCCGCCTTAAACATTTCAGGGTTCAACAGATATTTTTCTTTTAATTTACTTGGGCTGAAACGTCAAAGTTGGACTTGAACTGAGTTAAACTATTTCGTTCGTAGAGAGGACTCTTTTGAGTGTAGCTACTTCACCACGGTCAAATGAATTAAATTTGCAAAACCTAAGAATAGCCCTTTAAAGCAAAGGTTGTTACTTAACCATGATTTTGTGGTTTCGTCTGCTCGGACCAATGAGCGCCTCTTTTTGATATCACTGTATACGCTGCACCAATCGCCGGAAAGGTTGGGTCTTATTTCACGGGAAAACCCTCGCTGGCACGCGATGTGTTATAAAAAGGGATGGGAGAACTCTAAAGAAAATCGCTTAAAGCAGCAAGAAGCATTTCATTTGTTCATTTTTCCCCATAAGTAATAACAAGTCATAAGGGCGGGTAGCAGTGACACCGGCCCAAGCGGGTGCGAAGGAGGGAAATGAGCAAAAATCAGAGTATGAATAGACCTTTCGGGTCGTAACTTTAATTTTCCTAATTCAGACCACGTGATATACTCGATATTGACCCACTGGCTTAAGTACAGGAGGATATATCATCCCTAAGAGTTAAAAAGAACATGCTGATAAGGCAAGGCAAATGATAAACGTGGATCGGCATTGGTGGTTATGGGCGGTTCAGGGGCGAATGGATTAAGAAGAAGATTTTAACCCTAAGAGTTAAATTGTATATGCTGATGACGCAAGGTAATCAAGTACATCTCAAGAGATAAGATGCCCACTTTTTATCACGCAGAATTCTTCAACAAATTGGCAAATAGAACTGCAAGGCGCTCTCACCTGCTCATAAAATGGTTTTCCAGAATTTTCAATTATTGCCTTAAAAGAAGTTAACACAAAAATTGCAAATTAACAAACAATTATTGCATGAATATTTATACGATCAGTGTAAGTGTAATTTATACTGCAGCTAATTTAAGTATTATTAATATATAAAGTACAGATGAACATATTATGTTGAATGCTCCTGAGTAAAGTGTGCGTGTAGTTAGTTTAAATGCTTTAAATCATTTCGTACTGTGCCTTTTTTCTAAGTTAACATAATTGTAAGAAGGGCTTTCCACTTAGGTCCCGTCCACACGTATCCGTTTTGTCTCCTTTTTCAAAAAAAATCGGCGTCCACACGTTGCACTTTAGCCCGCCCACACGAAAAAGCAATAGTGACTGCAAACGGTACCATACTTGATGGGAGCATGCGCATTTACTGGTATCTGAGCCCGTGACGTCATCGTTTTCAAAACCCTTCGTTTTCATCAATCCACAGTGACACGAGTACAACAAGACGGCGTTTTCAACACTCTGGAGAGCACTTTTCAAAAGATGCGTTTTCGGTGACCGTTTTCACTGGCACCGTACGTGTGGACAGTATGCCAAACCAAAGAAAATTAATCTGTTTTTAGTCAGAAACGGATAAGCGTGTTCGGGACCTGAAAATTACGAGAGAAGGAACCTTCACAGTAGCCTTCAGCATCGCGAATAAAGGACCATGGTTTCATAGCGCTTTGGTCCTCTCTGTTGATTTACTCTGTCGCAATTTGTGAGCAAAACACAAAGGATTGTGTAGAGTCAGGAAGCTCCCGATATCGCCTTATTCACTGGATATTTCCAGTCTCTTGTGCGGCGTCTTCCAAAGGCACAGTTTCAGTGAAGTATCCGAGACGAAAGGCCAACTCGCTCGGACTAGGTGACCCGAAACGCTAAAACCGCGTGGAATAATGAGCCCTAAGGACTAGGCAACATATAGCATTAACATAAACATAAGTAGAAGCAAACCATGCAGGTGTAAATCGGGGTGTCATAGGAAGAAGAGCCTTTTACGTTTCCTTTACGCTATAGTCACACAAGGAAGTGACTTTGTGATTTGGGTGGGAGCGTTTTGGCAAGAAAAAATAATCTGGATTTATGGTAATGATATGTACGTTCCACTCCACAGATCATGCAGGTTTCTGTCTGACGGGTTCCACAACGAGAATACAGAACCATTGTAAAGTCAGTAAAGTAAGTCCTTTTTTAAAATGTTTAATTGACAAAATTTACAAGTAAAAAGAATTCTCGCTCATTAGGTCCCTACAACACATCTTGTCATTTTTCATTATGTTTCCCATAGACTCCATATCAAAGAAAAAAATGTTGGAAAATTGTTGTTGTTGTTTTTTTAATTTACGATAAATTTTTTTTCAAATGTCTTGTATACTGGCCATTTTCCACGAAGAACAATTCACGAATGACGAATTTCAAAGCTACAAAAATATTCATTCTCATCGACCCGCTGAGAATGAACGAAAAGAAAATGAATGAGAAAAAAAAAGAAGGAAAAGAATAAATTCTCAAGCACGAAATGAGCTAGCGCAGTCTAGAGAGAAGGCGGCTAACGGAGGAGACTATATCGCCCCTCCCTCCTCAGACAACACGCTAAGCCTGCTGCGCACGGCGATATTTTACCGTACACTATATCCTCCAAGAGGGTATAAACGTTAATAACAAAACAGCAAAGACAAAAGCGACTCGAGGTTTACCGATATTTCGAACGGACAAGAAGTCCTTCCTTCAACAGTGTTTGTTTACTAGCAAGAATAGAGGTCACGGTCTGTTGGTACTATAGACATGTAAAATTTTATTGTCTTTCTCTAGTCTTTATCTGTTAGTTAGTTAGTTAGTTAGTTTGTTTGTTTTTTCCCGGTTACTCCGGCTACGACTAAAATCTTTTTTTTTTTTGTAGTCCTAATTTGTAAGGAGCAACAAGAATACCAAAACAAAGAAACAAACAAAAAAAATATTCACGATTTAAAATGCGAACAATCAGGAAATAAATCTAAGAAATGCATTCTGACATAAACATGTCCTTAAAACTTATGACAGCCTATTGCCAGCAACCAGCGCGGAACATAAACAAACTCAGGGATCATCCACGACACGGAAGGATATCGAAGCGAGAGGAGTTTCTTGACTTGCCGAAATGACAATGGCTGGGCTCCTAGGGAGAAAAATGGGCATTAATTAATACGTCTGATGGGGTTAGAACTACGGACTTTCTAAGTTTAACCCTTGTGAGAACGAAAAGAAATTCAGTTCTTTTTCGTACGATAGGGTGAATTCTTGAAATACGCTTCCAAGGTCGATAAGATCCATTAGCAACCCCTCGCAGTTTAAAACTGCTTTCGCCAACTTCTTACGGAACCCTGATCGTTCTAATTTAAAAACAAACGAACAAAAAATTCATCTCTGTTTTACATCATTTAAAGTCATCAGTGTTAGCGAAAATGCCACTCAGCAGTTACTTTCACGTTAAGCTTTATATCAGTCAAAAAAACAGTTTAGGTTGGTCCTTCGAAACCTGGGTCGGGTTGCAAAAAACATCTTAAGATTAAGGGAACTCGTAACTATTATTTCAAAACAATAGGTTATTGTTCCAGAACAAAAGTTAAGACCTTTCTCGTCTTAAGAAGGTTTTATGCAACCTGATCCTGGTACTTAGATGGCATCGAGGTATCGACCTTTAGGACACGCTCCTATTTGCAATCAATAACTGTTAAGCCGGCTATGCTAACGCGTAAGAGTAACTGTAGAGGGATCCATATATGGCAACGCGCCTGCCATATTTGTTGTTTGTATACAGAGTAGCGAAAAGCAAAAAAGCAAAACAACAACAACAAAGACTAACCTCCAAAGTCTTTAAAGCCGTATTCATGCGCCAACTCAGCTGTTACCAGAATGCGACCACTTTTGCTAATGATGTTTGGATCTAACATTGCAGAAATAAGGACAGAGACTGTTGAACTAAGCGCGTATTGGGCTAGACCTGTCTCCCCCTCGGGCGCGTCTTTTTTTACACTTTTGGTCGGGAACAAAGGCCAGCGCGAATCGCGAGGGATTGGTAACGAGGCGCGAGGGACCCAAGAAAGGAGAAAAAGGAGAGGCGAAGCGCCTGCCAAATCTTGTCTTTTTCTTCTTCCCGCCTTTGTTTGTGCGCAAATTTAAATCGAGAGAGAGACGTCTGAAAACGAGTCAGGGCTAGACCAAACTATCTGGGACGAGCTGTTCCAAGGACGACTTAATAGCACAAACAGAATTATTATTCAAATTGTTTATCTGGTGGACTCAAATTCTCCAGCTAATTCTTTTATAGCCAGCTTGCGTTGACCAATTTTGAAAGACGTTTGCGATATCCAGTAAAATGACGTCAATAGTAGGGAATATCGACAGAAAAATGGACGGCAACCGGAAGCCCTGGGGACGAAGGTGCATTAGCTCAGCTGTTTTCGTAGAGCTGGAGAAAATAACGGAAAATTTCACCCGTTTTGCAAAAAAAAAAAAAAAAAAAGCAGCCGACCTTCTAACTAACCTTCTCGATCTACAGAATTCATCAGATCATACTCAGCCTCAACAAATAATTGCTAATTATACGCTCTGCTTACAGGTCGTCCAGGATTATATATATAATATTATGTATCATAGCATTTTGCGTTGATTTTGAACATCAGGGGTATTGACTGTACTAATACCTGCAGCCAACCAAGCCACGGCCTTGCCTGAAAATGTTGGATCCTCAGCATCTTTGAAAAGTGCAGCCGCCTTTCTTGACTGCAGAGTAAAAAACACACAGTTTAGTTTTGTTTATTTTTATGAATGAATTATTTTAATTGATACGGGCTTCACGTAGTCCTGAATAGGACTGTTGTTGACAGTGACTGAGGTTTCGACAACCTGTGCGGTAGTCATCTTCAGAGTCAAAGTAAGTTGTATCACGTCAGTTGATGGTATCAAACTCTGGTTATTGACCTGATTGGTCAATTAAGTCGCGATGTTATTGGTTGTCTGTCAGTTAAGCCGTGATGTTATTGGCTATGAAGGCTTTTTATGCTTTTTGGGCACTCTCGCTGATGTCCACTTAATACAGGAGTCCTCTTAAGTCATGCAGCCTTCGCTTAATTTTTTATCTTACGATTGAGACCAACTTCACCAAAATAACTCAGGACAACCAAAAAGGTTCTGCAATCCACATTTGAGAAGGAAAACTACTAATTCAGCAAAAAATTAAGTCGCGAAATCTTGTTTGCAAACGCAATAGCGTGTGTACTTGACAACACCTTCATCCTTCATCCCCCTCAACCCGTCAGTAAACAAATTATTTGTCTTCTTTAGATTCATAAAACCATAACATGTAAAGGAACAACAGAGAACAACAACATATAGAAAAAGTCCCCTAAATTTCAACCCCTCTTCGACAACTTGACGGGAGGGAACGGGCACTGAAAGTACGGGGTGGGAAGAAGGATTTTGTGGTTTTAACCCATATGACCGCTACGGCAGCCATGAGCCCTGGCTGAGTCACCACGAAACGTCTGGTAAACGAAACCTGGTGAGGATGCGATAAGTCAAGGAAGCTGGCAGTGGATTTCACATTTCTCAGTAAAATAGTGGGCGTAAGAAGTGGAAGGCCTTTCAAGTAATGACTCGAGTCCAACACGATCGATAGCGGGCGCTAAAAAACACTTAAATTTCAAACTTACAATGTTGCGCCAATGAAAGATACTCTTTGGCACCCTCTATTTGTTTTTTGATGTGGTTGTTTCTTTAGCTGAGCGTTTTGTACCGTAGTACGATACAGTGGTTTTAAATAGTGCTTTTTGAATCAAGTCTGATTATTACCCTCTCATCTTGTGGATTACTTAAGAAGTCTTTGACATTTTCAGTCATCACAGCTCCAGGCCAAAGCGACACACTGGCCACATTCTCTTTCCTCAGCTCCACAGCCATGTCCGCGGCCATTCGATCATTCTAAGAAAAACAGGAATGCAAATAAAGTTTTCAATACAGTCAAGGTGATCTCAAACACATGCCCCTTTAAAAAGTAGGTAGCAGTCAATGAATGTCCACTGAGATTTTGAAAAAGACAAAAGGCCGAGAAACGTCTTTAGCTTTCAGGAGAAAGTTCTAGAAATTTGGAAATTTCAAGAACTCCGAAGACAGCGCCTACTGATACACGTTTGCAGTCGAAACTCCATGTGCGACAACCTTTCGTCATAAGCAACCACGTCTTATAAGCGACCGGTGTCTAAAACGTTAAACTTTTTTCATTCAAAGTCTTATTATAAGAACTCTCGTTTCTGGTCTGACAGTTTTCCAAATTGTTTTTAACCTCTTGTAAGCGAACACGTGACGCATGGTGTGGTCTCTTTGTTCGCTGTATACACTACGCCATTCAGCGAATATACGAAGAACTTTCAAAGACAACATGGAACTACACGGATACATAATTTAGAAGTTGCATGGAATAAATTTCTGGTAAAGAGTAGATGTTTTGAAGCTTTTTCTCGGACGAGACCCACTGTGGTGCGAATTTCGTATGAGTGGGCGCTTATGGCATTATGGGAGGTTCGTCTGTGTATTTTACGAGGTTTAAGAACAATGTCAAAGAAGGCAGGCTTTTGTGATAGTCATCTCTGAGCGTCTTCAACAACAAGTGGTCACCAAAGCACAAAATTCTGTACAACAAGATTCAATATGAAAAAGTGAAATATCCCAATCATTAAGGAATGGTTAGCGAGCAGCGTGCAACCATCGAGTTAGGATGTACGCGAGAGGTTGCTACGAACGAAAAAAAAGTAAAAGTTACGCCGAGAGCACCTCTAGCTTCTTGAGTGCTTAGCAAACCCCCAAGTGCATCAATAACTCGATGGTTGCACAGCTGCAATGTTTACCATTTCTTTTATAACATAATCAAAAGAGAAAACATTTCCATTTGCCTTCCGTTGAATCAGTCATCGGTACTGTAGACGAGCTGATGTATGCTGTCATCGCCTTCGTGTAAACAAATCGTGCCTTTCAAAAACTTGCCTTTGAGTTTTGCTTTCGCTGAATCAACCGTTCTCCGTTTTAAGGTAAATTGCAAAACGTTTTTTGTTGTTATTCTGAATGGCGTCTGTCTGCTTGTTCTTAATATTAGAGCAAATACTTTGAGGGAAAACTATAGCTGCAACTCTAAACACCGCCTCAAAAACTATGCCACGTAAAGTGATAATTGTGTGACAATTTATGCAATAAACGAAAAGTGGAAATAAGAAAAATTGACTGTATTTCCTTTAGAATAACAGATAACACTAATTTTACAAAGAAATTGACTAGTTTCGTATCGAAATTTTTCCGGAGAAATCGAGCTGGAAGTCCAAATTGCAAAAATTCGCCAACACAGCCGGCGCTGATGCGATGCGTGAGCAACTTAGAAATCTGTTGTATTACGACCGTTCTGCTATTTCAAAACAGACTTTTTTCTACTATAAAAACACACAAAATGTACCTTAAATTTCGGGCTTAAATCCTTCAAAAACTTCGCTCGCTCGGTTGTTCTTCTGAGCTTTCAGCCTCGAAGAAAACAATGATGAATTTCCCCAAGGCAAATTTGTCGCTTGATCTTTTCACTTTCCTTCAAAACGACAACTGAGAATTTTCTTCAACTTCAACTTTTCATTTGTATATTTCATCAGTGCATTTTAAACCGCGCAGGAGAGGAAATTTGTTGAATTTGCCTCAATTTTATGGCGTAGCTTTTCTTGGCGTGCACCAAAAGGCAAGTAGTAGATGGCTGCCTGACCAATCAGAGCGCGCGCTTTACTTTTGTTATGTTATAAAATGTGATATACTCACTTAACCATACTTGCCTGTATTTTAGGACATAAGTGCGTAAACCAGACTTCCTCTTAAATATTTCCGACCCGCATCGGAAAAGCCGTGAGTCAAAAAGTCAACCTCGTTCCCAGGGCCTCTCTCATTTGTCGTTAAGCAGACAAGAAGGGCAGAGGAGACAAGGTTGTTAAAAGTTAACTTAGAGAAACTTAAGGGTTATTCCAACTAGCTGAAGAAAGAGCATAGACTTTTTAGTGACTGTTCTACGACTCAGTGGAGACGCAAGTGTCGTTATGTTAAGCCAACGACATTTCGTGAATGCCTACACACATAACCACACAAAAAAAATAACACACACACTTCTATTTCATTTTGAAGTCCATAGTAAGTTGCACGTACTGCAGCTTTTCCAATGCCATATGCAACGTTAAAGAGATATGTCAATCCTCCCATCGATGAAACGTTGATTATGAGTCCCTGTTTGGCTGGAACCATCATCCGAGCTGCATGCCACGCAGCAATGTAATTAGACCTGGAGGGAGAAAAGGGACAAAAAGGACGCCAGTGATAGGAAACATTCTAAACTCTTTCATCTCCAAGTGCTCAGCTTGGTGTATCACGGTTACTTAATGTTGAAGACCATTTAACAACGCTTAGTTTTTTTGTAATTAAAATTACAAACGATGTAAAGAATGTTGAAACAAAAACGAAAGATTAGTTAAAGTCTACGAGCTGCTATGAGTCTGACATCCACCCCGTGAGTATCAGGGCAATAAAGGTCTCTTCTCCGTTAGAAAAGAAAGCAAGTTTACACCGATACTTTTGATATTACGAAGACCGAAAAGACTATTTCTTGTTTTCCTTCATGAAATGCCAATATTCATCGGCCTTAAGCATTTAATGTTTCAGACTGACTGCAACGTTTCGATGATGTTAGAGAAAAAAACGGTCATTTATAAACTCAGAAAATATACAGCCTTTTGACTTACGTGGTCAGCAACTATGTAAATTTGTTGGAACAAAAGAAAAATTTTACATGAGAAAAAGTTCAACTCCCACAGGATTGGTCTGGGACACCGTTATGGCCGCCGGGACGTCATGTGAAAACGCTCTATACAATCACTGCTACAGCCTGTTCCTTCTCTACATACCGACATAACATGTAGCAATTTTCTTACCTAAGCCCTACATTGTTAACCTCATCCCACACGTTTAAAGGCTAGAAGACGAAAACAAGTACGCTATGTTAACTTTGACCAAACAATGGGAAAAAACAGAAATTTAAAGAAACAGGAGTGTAGTCAGAAATAAAATTAGTTTGTGTGTGTCTCCTACCCCGAACACCGTCGCCTCCTCCTTAAAATTTACGTTCTCAGTCGAGAAATAGACCTTTTTAGCTTGTATGTTTTGTTTTCCCAATTCACACCAGGTGATGTTCCCAAGGAAATTTCACAAATTATGCATACATGTGCACGTGCATAGAACGACAATTGAAAGAGAGAGTTCCCTGGGGCACCATCACGTGATCTAAAATGGGAAAACAAGACACAACCTGAAAACATCTATTGATTGTTTAAAGATTGATTATCCCTGACAGATTCTTTCTTTTCGTAAACAATATACAAGCTGTGCTACTGTCTACCTCCCTCTGAATGCACTCATGAGAAGGAAAGAAAACAGCTCACGAAAAGAAACAAATTTAGGAGAGAATCAAAATGCACGCAAATATCGCAGAGTACTTTACAATGGTCGGTCTTATTGAACAGGATCTCTCGCGATCCGAGATTTCACCGAAATATAACGCGGGATTAGGGGAAACGCCAAATTTCTTGACTGGATACGGGATTTCAGGACCACTAGTCGAAAAGCGGGATGCGCTAAAATCTTTGCACGGGATGCGAAACTGAGAAGGAAAATGAGTTTTCTGTATAGAGATGACAGAAGTTCGGGATGAGAGATCTTGAAAAGAGAAGCGGGTTGCCTGATAAGAACCCTCTTCCAGACACTGATTGAACAACTACAGGGAAAATACCAGTAAGACTATAAACTAAAACTTATAATCGGAAATTCTGATGACTAGCCAATATTTGATTGGAAAATATTACAACCGAAGCATTGACTTTGGACACTAATATAAGGATCTATCATGACTCACATTACCTTTCTATCAACAAAGAGCAAGAAAGCATCCGTTGAAATTTTAACACGTGTATGATGATTCAGATGTTTATATAACAACATACTATCTGAGAGAGCAGAATTTTTCAACATCAAAATATAGATTGAGGATCTTACCTGTTCATAAAATGGTTTTTCAGCATTTTCCGACATTGCCTGGACCATAACAAAATTTAAAACGTTAAAATTAACGTTACACCAGAGTTTGAGTAAACTATACCACTAACAAAAATGAATGTTTCTGATTGTTTATTCCTCATACCATTTGAAGTTATCTTCAAAACAAGTTTGGTTGTACTTTATTCGCAGAACTACGCGGCCGGGAAACGCTGGTACAATGTGTACTACCAAGAATCTTCACATTGTGTTGAATACCCCCCCAAAAATCCCCACTAAAATTAAGCCACCCCCCTAGCCTACGCCACAGACGAAACTAAGTCCGTCTACGAAACAGCGCCGAAATCCTTGTTCTCGGCCCCCACCTGTGTACCTGGATTTGAGTACGCGCCATGTCATTGGCCTGTTAAAAAACCATTGTCGACTAGCCAATCAGGATGAAAGGAAATTCGAAACCCATTTCCGGTGATTGGTTGTGTCCGTTGGGGGCCCAGAACAAGGATTTAGGCGCTACTTCGCAGACGTTACCTACCGAGGTTAAATTAAGTCTGCGACGCAGGCTAGCCACCATCCTCCCCCACCACCCCTCCCCCCCCAAAAAAAATAAATAATAATAATAATAATCCTTGCTAAATTTTCAGACACAAATAAATCCCAAATCGAAAATTTCAAACCCCAATATATCCTTCGAAGATCCCCTTTACTTGAAATCCAAAGTATCCCATGGGAATGCCAGTTAAGAGCGCCTTGACTGTACCTTTTGGCCATCCACATGTAGCCTATAAACAAAGCTACATCTGTTTTCCAGGGCTGAAACTTTAACTACTGCAGCTACTGCTGCTTACACATCCTACCTTCCATCCTGTGCAAGCATTGTTGACAAGTATATCCAATCGTCCATTTTGTTCTTTGCTAACTTTATCAAACACCTTTTGGACTTCATCGTCATTTCCATGGTCACATTGTACAGGTATGCACTGTCCTGAACAGCTCTCTTGTCCTACCTAAAACATAAATGACAATAAAAGGGACCTTAAGCAACCAGAGCGTTGGCGTCCCGGACGTCAAAAATGGCAACCGAAAGTTGATATTTTCTTTCTTTCAGTGCTCTGACTCGACAAATTCGTACAGCGGGAGCTAACACAAAGGCATTTAGATTCGTTGTGTGAGATAGAAGCGTTCCATCAAGCTTCTTCTTTTTAGTTAGTATAAAATACACCACAAAATGGGAAAAATATAATTATTGAATTTGTTTTGGAGTCACATACAAAAAGATTTTTTTCAGATTGCTGACAGAACAACATTAGGTGATTTTTAGAAAACCTCGTTACACACGTAGACCATACACCGCCAAAATTCACACCTGTTTAAGGCTTCGGGTCTAAAAAGACACCCTGTTTAAGACGCTCAATAGTGAAATTATATACCCTGATTAGCTCTGATTAATATTCAAGACCCTGAAAACCATACCCTGTTCAGCACATACCTGTATAGGCCAAATAAGGGAGTGCCCCCCGGAAATAAACAAAATACCACTTGACGGAAGACAACTTACTGTTAATATACAGATTTAGCCAGGGCTAAAAGCGAAGCTCCCATTAATAAATTTATGATTAAAGTCAAACAATAAACTTGTAATCCACAAATTATTTAACTTAAGGGCACATTCATGTGACTTTTAAGGGAAAGGCTAAGTGATTTTACAGTGAAACATCTTGCATTGAGTTGATAGCCATTTATGTACACCCAAAAAATAGCAATCATATTCGATCACAATCAAGAGCCATAATGGCTCTTGATCATAGTAGATTAGGCCTCAAAAACAAATTCTTGAAAAACAAATCAGGCTAGGTCAGGTGTTCGACAAGTTTACTTTACAAAATCTTGCCAACAAATCTGGGGTTGTGTAAACCAACCTTTCATACCTTTTATACATCACATCTGAGGTGAAGCAGTGCTATTCATCATACAGACCTCGGACAGAATACAGTATTTGACAATTTTTCAAGACAAATATTCAGGATAATCAATCGTGGGCTTAATTAGCGAGACCAGTCGAAAAATTTCCAAAATCACCTATACGGCCAGCCGGTTCTCACTTTTCACAATCGCCAAACTTGCAGTGCGAGCTGTGCTCGAGTGTGTGAATGAACATTAATAGAGTTACGCTTCAACATAATAAAGAATTTATTATGTTTATTTTTTTATTCAATGGTTTTATAACGATGTGTAATCTTAAGAAGCGTTTGATACAGGTGGCAGTTTGAGTACTCCTGCAACTGATGTTCATGAACGATTGAAAACAAACGGCACATCGATTAAAATTACAAGATCAAAGAGACTACTAACAATCAATAAAAGAAATATAATTCGGTGAAACATTTACAGAGATAACAATTTTCATTTACGAAGACAAATATTCTAGTGTGTCTTAAAATCCTGAGTCTTTAAGCTTAAAGCTGAAGTTTATGTTTTAAGCCGGTCTCCTGGTGCTTGCTTTTTTCAAAGATGAACTCGAGGCAAGAAAATCGCTCAAAGTTTTCTTTCTACAGCCAAATTTATAACTAAATATTCTTCGGAACGTTTTCTTTCTATTGGCGGTGAGAAAATATATCTATCCCATGCAAAAGAAATGTGTGATCACATGTGTGATCACAAGTGTGATTTTTTATTAGAAGTGTGATTCACACTTTAAAATCACACTTTTTCACATTTCAAATCACACTTCTAAGAAGTGTAATAAGAAGTGTGAACATGTGTGATACACAAATTTTTATAAAGTGTGATCACGTGTGATCGCGCTTATAAATGTGTGATTTTAGTAAAATCCCACATCTTTTTCACACTTTGTCACACTTCTTTCTTGGATTCAACAAAGTGTGATTTTAATACCTTTTAATTAAATGATTTTACATTAAATGTTTGAGTGTTCTTAAAATGCAGGGGACACTGCTTGAGGATTGTGCTGCTAAATTTTACCAGAAATACAGCCACACAAATATTCAGAACTTTGGTTCAATTTATTTTTTTTATTAATCAATTTAACTGATGTCATAGTAAAGTCTAACAAATGCTGTGTCCTCTGCCAATGCCAAAATGTAATGTTAGTTACAAAAGTTTGATAAACAACTCATCTGTTGCTGAAACCACTCTCAATACTCTGATCTGCAAAATCTGAGGGGCTCGTCTCTGTAAGTCCATTTTTTTTGCTTTGCATTGGAAGTCCCGTATCTTCCATGCCTAAAGCCACGGCACTTCCTGTAAATACTTTTTTCTCGTTTTCCTCACTCTTGATCCAGTGTTTCCTCTTTTTGTAGGGGGAACTGTGCAAATGCACAGCCTGAAATGAAATGGGAACTTGAATTAAAAATATCTCAGAAACTGTTTTAACGTATTTATATCATTTAATTTCCCTGGTGTACAACCTGCACCTCAAGAGTACAGATGTATTCAAGTATTAACTTAAGTTCTTGTTATTAAAATATTAAACCACTGCAGTATTATATAATATCAATACACAGCTAAAGTGGAAATAAGTGTGATGCACTAACTATAATTTTTATGACAACAAAGTTCTGTCCTTTACACGTGCACTGTTACTTATTTACATTACAACAATCGTCAGTGCATACAGTGTTTCTGGTCGCGGGGTAGAAAATCTCAATACCTGTGAACAGGGCATTTTTCACAGGGTCAGAACCTGTAAAAAACCCTGTGAAATGGGAGTTTGCCTGGCAGCTGCATGCATGTTGCCATCCCCCCAATAAATAAAATGTTGAAGTCTTATTTCTGCAGATGCACTTGCAAGTGAAGAACATTGATCAATTCATTTGTTGAGTGAGGGGAGGGGTCATAGAAGGATAAGTGTCCTGTGGGTAAGAAAGTACAAAACATATTTTGTTCAAGATTGTATAGCCACATGTGCAATTTTAAAAATAATCACTGAGGGAAATTTCAGTTGAAAGGCATGATTGAATGAAACAATAAACACCTTCAGCTCTCATATGAAACTGGACAAAATATATTGCATCCTGATTGATGATGGTCTTCTTAACTTAAAAGATTTAGAGATACTCACATCAGTAGTCAGCGACTTCAAATAACCCCAAACGTTTTGCCAGATGAACTGGCATTGCTTGAATACTATATACTGAATCCTTGATTCAGCTTGGCCATCAAAACACAGGCATTTTTACAGAAGTCTTTATAACTGTTCATAAAAAAAGTTTTTAACTTCATTAGTTAAGTAGTTTTCATAGTCAGGTAGGTGACAGATAAAAAGTAGCTAATTATACCTTTGCAAAAATTTGAAATCAAAATCTGAAATAAAGAACACATCAGATGTGCTTGTTACAGTCTAAAAAGGAAAAGAAAAGTCCTCAACTGTAACAAATACTGTACTGTTACTGTTACGTGGATAGGTGGTCAAGGATTAAGTTTTAAAATCATGAGGGTGTGCATCCAAAACAATGAGTTAGTTTATTAAATCACTGGGTTATTAAAAATTCGCCCCACGTAAGGGAGTCTTTTTGCTTGTTGAATCCGGAATCCGGGAACATTTTGCTTGTGGAATCCGGAATCCTTGGCCTTAGAATCCCGAAAATACAGCTCAAGCAATACGGAATCCCACTAACGATTGGAATCCAGAATCCAAGTTTCCACAGACAAAGGCTGGAATCCAGTACCTGGAATCCGGAATCTACCACCTGGAATCCAGAATCCAAGACCCTCTTCGATTCCATTATATGAGGTGAAAAAACGTAGATTTGTTGGGTCACAAGTACTCCATCAACAGAGTCTCAACAGCCTATATAGCTGTGCCAAAAGTGTTAAAATTCTGCGCTTAGTTCCTCTAAAATTAATTCTGCTTAAATTTTAATCCAAGATTATTTCAGTCCAAATTTTGTGATTATTCAATATTATGCCTTTAATACTCGCTCCGAGATGGAGCTATAAAAACACTAAAAAACATGTAGGACAGTAAATACAAAAAAGGGATTTTCTTTCAATCTTGTATTATGGATCTAAACTGGAAGTGTTCATTACAAGAACTTTGCTGCTTGGTTGTGATTTAAAACATTAATAGCTCAACTTCAGATGAATGCACGGACTGTTTAGCAAAAAAAGAAGAAGAAGAAGCAGATGGGGAGAAGAAACTGTAAAACCTCACAAGCATTGAAACCTTCTACCAAAGAGTGAAAAAGTATAAAGAGAACCCATTTATCGAAAGGAAAGGACAGCACTTACCTTTTCAGCCACTAATGTCTCTGATTATTAAAATGAAATCTTCATCGAAAAAAGGATTACAAATCGACGTAGGGAAAAATAAAAGTCTTGTTCTTCTGCTCTGTTCAGCTTCTACACGTCATCTCATTAAACGAATGAAGACAGTTTTGGAAGCCACGTTCAGAAATTCCGTATAAACACGGGTGCTAGGATCAAGTCTTGCATCGTCACGTCCGAGTGCGGCCATCTTGGTTTCTGAACGTTCGGATCGATCTACTCTTTCAGATTTTAATGTACATCTGCTGACTTCTCTTAACCGGTTAAGTTAATGAACAATATGTGAAGGACAAGCATGAAGAAAAGTGCTTGAGCTTCCTCATCGCCTTTAGTTCGCAAGTGAAGATCAGTCACTCTCCGTTTATCGATATTTTTACCCCCTGTTTTACCTGTCGTTCTACAGAAGCAGAAGTTCAATGCCGAATGCAAGAAAAAAGGTAACTTAAACGGTGCAACAGCGACAACGATGAAAACAGCAACAACAGTGACAACAGAGACAACGGTGACAGCGGTGACAACCGCGACAACAAAACAACGATGACACCTGTGACAATGATGAAAACAGTGACAACCGTGACAACAGTGACAACGGTGACAACAGCGACCGACGCGACAACCGTAGTAATGGCTACCACGGTGACAACAGTGACCACGGTGAAAATGGTGACAACACTGACAACAACAAACACACAAACAAGAGTGACAACAGTGAAAATAGCAAAAAAAACGACAAAAATGACAACAGTGACACACCGAACACAGTGACAACAGCGACAACAGAGACAAAACTAAACACAGTGACAACCGTGACAACAGTGAATACCATGACAACAGCCACAACAGTAACAACAGTGATAATGGTGACATCATTGAAAACAGGTGACTACGGTGACAACAGTGACAATGGTGACAACAGCGACAACGGTGACTACAGTGACAACCGTAACAACGGTGACCACCGTGACAATGGTGACAACAGTGACAGCGCAGTGACAACAGCGACAACGCTAACAACGGCGACAACAGTGACAAAGAGTGAGAACGGTGACAACACTGACAACAGTGACAACGGTGAAAACAGTGACAACAGTGACAACAGTGACTGACAGCAGTGAAAACGATGACAATGGTGACAACAGTGACAACGGTGACAACGGTGACACTAGTGACAAAGGTGACTACAGTGACAACAGTGACAATGGGAGACAACGGTGACAACAGTGACAACGGTAAAAACAGTGACTGGTAACAACAGTAAAAACAGGAACAAAGCTCAAAACGGCGAAAACAGTGACAAAGAGTGAGAACGGTGACAAACCTGATGGTGACAACAGAGACAATGATGAAAAAGGTGACACAGTGACAACAGTGACAACGGTGACAACGGTTACAACGGTGACAAAAGTAACAACAGTGACAATGGTGACAACAGTAACAACGGCGAAAACGGTGACACAGTGACAACAGTGACAACGGTGACAAAAGTGACAATGGCGACAACGGTGAAAACGGTGACAACAGTGACAACGACGACAATGGTGGCAACAGTGACACTAGTGACAACTGTGACAACAAGGACAACACTGACAATAGCGACAACAGAAACAAAGGTGACAAAAATGACAACAGTGACAACGGTAACAACGGTGAAAAGAGTGACAAAGGTGACAACGGTGACAACAGTGACAATGGTGACAATGGTGAAAACGGTGACAACAGTGACACTAGTGACAACGGTGACAACTGTGACAACAGGGACAACACTGACAATGGTAACAACAGCAACAACGGTGAAAACAATGACAACAGAGACAACAGTGACAAAAGTGAAAACAGTGACGACAGTGACAACAGTGACAACGGTGACAACGGTCACAAGAGTAAAAGGAGTGACAACGGTGACAAGAGTGAGAACGGTGACAACGGTGACAACACTAAGAACGGTGACAACGGTGACAACGGTGACAACAGTGACTACGGTAACTAAAGTGACAACGGTGACAACAGTGACAACGTTGACTAAAGTGACTACGGTGAAAAGAGTGACAACAGCGACAACGTGGAAAACAGTGACACTAGTGACAACGGTAGCGACTGTGACAAAAGGGAGAACACTGACAATGGTGACAACAGCAACAATGGTGACAACAGTGACAACAGTCAGAACGGTGACAACAGTTACAACGGTGACAACGGTGACAACAGTGACAACAGTGACAACAGTGACAACTCTGACAACAGTTAGAACAGTGACAAGAGTGACAACGGAGACAAAGGTCACAAGAGTGACAACGGTGACAACAGTGACAACAGTGACAACAGTGCAAACGGTGACAATGGTGAGAACAGTGACAACGGTGACAACAGTGACAACAGCAATAACGATGACAACAGTGACAATGGTGACAACAGTGAGAACAGGGAAAACAGTGACAACGGTGACAACGGTGACAACAGTGACAAGAGTGAGAATGGTGACAAGAGTGAGAAGAGTGACAACGGTGACAATAGTGACAACGGTGAAAACAGTTAGAACGGTGACAAGAGTGACAAAAGTGACAACAGTGACAACGGTGACAACAGTGACAAAGGTGACAACGGTGAAAACAATAACAACAATGACAACGGTGACAACAGTTACAATGGTGACAATAGTAACAACGGTGATAAAAGTGACAACAGCGACAACCGTGACAACAGTGACAATGGTCACAACAGTGAGAACAGTGACAACAGTGACAACAGTGAAAAAGGTGACAACCGTGACAACAGTGACAATCGTGACAACGGTGACATAACTCAGAACGGTGACAATGGTGACAACAGTGACACCAGTGAGAACGGTGACTACAGTGACAACCGTGAAAACGGTGACAACTGTGACAACAGTGACAACGGTGACAACGCTGAAAACGCTGACAACAGTGACAAGGAGACAACGGTGACAAGAGTGAGAAGAGTGACAACGGTGACAGCAGTTAGAACAATGACAACGGTGACAACAGTGACAACAAAGACAAAGGTGACAACAGTGACAACACTGACAACAGTGACAACGTTGACAATGGTGACAACAGTGACAATGGTGACAACAGTGACAATGGTGACAATGGTAAAATAACTTAGAACAGTGACAATGGTGACAACAGTGACACCAGTGACAACGGTGACTACAGTGACAACGGTGAGAACGGTGACAACTGTGCCAACAGTGACAACAGTGACAACGGTGCATGACAACAGTGACAACGGTGACAACAGTAACAACAATAACAACAGTGACAACGGCGACAACGGTAACAACAGTGACAATTGTGACAACAGTGAGAACAGTGACAACGGTGACAACTGTGACAACAGTGACAACGGTGACAACGGTGAAAACGGTGACAACAGTGACAAGGAGACAACGGTGACAAGAGTGAGAAGAGTGACAACGGTGACAACAGTTAGAACAATGACAACGGTGACAACCGTAACAACAAAGACAAAGGTGACAACAGTGACAACAGTGACAACGTTAACAACGGTGACAACGATGACAACGGTGACAACAGTGACAACGGTGAAACAGTGACAACCATGAGAATGGTGACAACAGTGAAAACGGTGACAACAGTGACAATGGTGACAATAGTGACAACAGTTAGAACGGTGACAACGGTAACAACGGTGACAAAAGTGACAACGGTGCTTGAAAACAGTGAAAACGGTGACAACAGTGACAACAATAACAACAGTGACAACGGCAACATCGGTAACAACAGTGACAACGGTGACAACAGTTACAACGGTGACAACAGTGACAACGGGGACAATGGTGACAACCGCTACAACGGTGACAACAGTGACAATTGTGACAACAGTGAGAACAGTGACAACAGTGAGAACAGTAACAACACTGACAACGGTGACAACAGTGACAACGTTGAAAACGGTGACAATGGTGACAACACTTAGAACGGTAACAATGGTGACAACAGTGACAACAGTGAAAACAGTGACTAGAGTGACAACGGCAAGAACTGTGACAACAGGGAGAACACTGACAATGGTGAAAACAGCGACAACGGTGACAACAGTGACAACGGTCACAAAAGTTACAACGTGACAACGGTGATAACAGCGACAACGGTGACAACCGTGACAACAGTGCCAACAATGACAACGGTAACAACGGTGACAACAGTGACAACGGTGACAATAGTGAAAAGAGTGAGAAGAATGACAACGGTGAAAACAGTGACAACGGTAAAAACGATGACAACGGTGAGAACAGTGACAACGTTGACACCGGTGATAACAGTGACAATGGTGACAAAAGTTAGAACGGTGACAACGGTGATAACAGTGACAACAATGACAAAGGTGACAACAGTGACAATGGTAACAACGGTGACAACAGTGACTACGGTGACAACACTAACAACAGTGACAACAGCGACAATGGTGACAACAGTGACACCGGTGACAACAGTTAAAACGCTGACAAGAGTGACAACGGTGACAATGGTGAAAACAGTCACACTAGTGACAACCGTAACAACTGTGACATCAGGGAGAACACTGACAATGGTGACAACAGCGCCAACCGTGACAACAGTAACAAAAGTGCAAACGGTGCCAAGAGTTACAACGGTGACAACGGTGACAAGAGTGACGACGGTAAAAACAGTGACAACAGTGACAACGGTGAGAAGAGTTAGCAGAGTAACAACGGTGAAAACAGTGAGAACGGTGACAACGGTGACAAAACTTAGAACCGTGACAACGTTGACAACAGTGACAACAGTGACAACAGTCACAACGGAGACAACGGTAAAAACGGTGACAACACTTAGAACCGTGACAACGGTGACAACAGTGACAACAGTCACAACGCTGACTACAGTGACGACAGCGAAAACGGTGACAACGGTGAGAACAGTGACTATAGCGCCAACGGTGAAAACGGTGACAACTGTCAGAATGGTGAGAACGGTGAAAACAGTGACAACAATGACAAAGGTGACAACAGTGACAACAGTGAGAACAGTCACAACGGTGACAACGGTGACAACAGTGACAACAGCGACAACGGTGACAACAGTGAAAAAAATGACAACGGTGACTACAGTGCCAACGGTGAAAAAGGTGAAAACGGTGACAACAGTTAGAACGGTGACAATAGTGACAACGGCGACAACGGTGACAACAGTGACAACGGTAACAACGGTAAAAATGGTAACAACGGTGACAACAGTGAGAAAAGTGAGCACAGTGACAACAGTGACAACAGTGACAACGGTGACAAGAGTGAGAAGAGTGACAACAGTGACAACGGTGACAACAGTGACGCCGGTGACAACAGTCAGAACTGTGAAAACGGTGACAACAGTAACAGCAGTGACAACGGTGACTACACTGACAACGGTGACAACAGTTACAACGGTGACAATGGTGACAACAGTGACAACGCTGACAATGGTGAAAACAGCGACAACCGTGACAACAGTGAGAACACTGAACACAGTGACAACGGTGAAAACAGTGACAGCAGTGACAACGGTGACAACAGTGAGAAAAGTGACAATGGTGATAACAGTGACAACGGTGACAGCAGTTAGAATGGTGACATTATGGTGAAAACAGTGACAACAGTGACAACAGAGACAAAAGTGACTACAGTGACAACGGTGAGAACGGTGACAACTGTTAGAAGAGTGACAACAGTGACAACAGTGACAACAATGACAACGGTGAGAACAGTGACACTAGTGACAACGGTAACAACTGTGACAAAATGGAGAACAGTGACAATGGTGAAACCAGCGACAATGGTGACAACAGTGACAACGGTGACATGGGTGACTAGGGTGACAACGGTCACAACGGTGACAAAAGTGACACTAGTGAGAACGGTAACAACTGTGAGAACAGGGAGAACACTGACAATGGTGACAACAGCGACAACGGTGACAACAGTGCAAACGGTGACAACAGTAAAAACGGTGACAACGGTGACATCAGTGATAACGGCGACAACAGTGACAACAGTGACAACGGTGTCAACGGTGTCAACGGTGACAACACTTAGAATGGTGACCATGGTGACAACAGTAAAATCAGTAATAACGGTGACTACAGTGACAACAGTGACGACGGCAACAATGGTGACAACAGTGACAACGGTGACAACGGTGACAATGGTGACAATGGTGACAACGATGACAACAGTGACAACGGTGACAGCAGTGACAAAAGTGACAACAGCGACAACGGTGACAACAGTGAGAACACTGAGAATAGTGACAACGGTGCCAACTGTGAAAACGTTGACAACGGTGACAACAGTTAGAACGGAGATAAAAGTGACAACATTGAGAACAGTGAAAAAGGTGACTACAGTGACAAGAGTTAAAACGGTGACAACAGTGACAACGGTGACAACAGTGACAACAGTGAGATTGGTGACAACAGTGACAACGGTAACAACGGTGACAACGGTGAAAACGGTAACAACGGTGACAAAGTGACAACAGTGACAACAGTGACAACGGTGACAACCGGTGACAAGTGACAACAGTGACAACTGTGACAACAGGACAACAGTGACAATGGTGACAAAAGTGACAATGGTGACAACAGTGACAACAGTGAGAATGCTGACAACAGTTACAATGGTGACACTGGTGACAACAGCAACAACGGTGACAACAGTGACAACAGTGAAAACGGTGACAACTGTGACAACAGTTACAACAGTGACAAAAGTCTCAACGGAGAAAATGGTAACAACAGTGACAACACTTAGAACGGTGACAACGGTGACAACAGTCACAACAGTCACAACGCTGACTACAGTGACAACAGCGACAACGGTGACAACAGTGACAACAGTGAGAACAGTGACAACGGTGACTATACTCCCAACGGTGAAAACGGTGACAACTGTTAGAATGGTGACAACAGTGACAACAGTGAGAACAGTGACAACGGCGACAACGGTGACAACAGTGATAACAGTGACAACAGTGACAACAGCGACAACGGTGACAACAGTGAAAACGGTGAAAAAGGTGAAAACGGTGACAACAGTTAGAACGGTGGCAATAGTGACAATGGTAACAAGGGTGAAAATGGTAACAAAGGTGACAATGGTGACAACAGTGACAACGCTGAGAACAGTGACAACAGTGACAACGGTGACAACGGTGACAACGGTGACAAGAGTGAGAAGAGTGAAAACGGTCACAACAGTGACACCGGTGACAACAGTGACAGCAGTGACAACGGTGACTACTCTGACAACGGTGACAACGGTGACAACAAACACAACGGTGACAATGGTGACAACAGTGACAACGGTGACAACGGTGACAACAGTGACAACGGTGACAACAGTAACAACAGTGACAACAGTGACAACAGTGAAAACAGTGACAACGGTGAAAACAGTGACAACGGTGAAAACAGTGAGAAAATTGACAATGGTGACAACAGTGACAACTGTGACAACAGTGAGAACGGTGACAACAATTGACATCGGTGACAACATTGACAACAGTGACAACGGAAACAATGGTGAGAACGGTGACAACGGTGACTACATTGACAACAGTGACAACGGTGACAACGGCGACTACGGTGACAAGGGTGACAACAGTGACAACGGTGACAACAGTGACAAACAACTGTGACAAAACGGAGAACAGTAACAATGGTGAAAAAAGCGACAATGGTGACAACAGTGACAACGGTGACATCGGTGACAACAGTGACAACGGTGACAAAAGTGACACTAGTGAGAACGGTAACAACTGTGACAACAGGGAGAACACTGACAATGGTGAAAACAGCGACAACGGTGACAACAGTGAGAATGGTGACAACATTAAAAACGGTGACAACGGTGACAACAGTGACAACGGTGTCAACGGTGACAACACTTAGAATGGTGACAACAGTGAAAACAGTCACAACGGTGACTACAGTGACAACAGTGACAACGGCAACAACGGTGACAACAGTGACAATGGTGATAACGGTTACAAAAGTGACAACAGCGACAATGGTGAAAATGGTGACAACGATGACAACAGTGACAACAGTGACAACAGTGAGAACAGTGACAATAGAGACAACGGTGACAAGAGTGAGCAGAGTAACAACGGTAACAACAGTGACAACGGTGACAACAGTTAGAACGGTGACAATGGTGACAACAGTGACAACAAAGACAAAGGTGACAACTGCGACAATAATGACAACGGTGACAACGGTGACAACAGTGACAACAGTGACAACGATGACAACGGTGACAACAGTGACAACAGTGACAACGGTGACAACAGTGACAACAGTAAAAACGGTGAGAGCGGTGCCAACAGTAACAATAGTGACAACAGCGACAACGGTGACAACAGTTACAACAGTGAAAACGGTGACAACGGTGACAACGGTGACAACAGTGAGAACGGTGACAAGAGTGAGAAGAGTGACAACGGTGACAACGGTGCGAACACTTAGAATGGTGACAATGGTGAGAACAGTGAGAGCAGTGACAACGATGAGTACAGTGACAACAGTGACAAGAGTGAGAAGTGTGAAAACGGTGACAACAGTGACAACGGTGACAACGGTGACTACAGTGACAACGGTGGCAACACTTAGAACGGTTACAATGGTGACAACATTGACAACAGTGACAACGGTGACAACAGTGACAACAGGGACAACGGTGACAACGGTGACAACAGTGACAACGGAGACAACGGTGACAACAGTGACAACAGTGACAACAGTGACAACAGTGACAACGGTGACAACAGTGACAAAAGAAACGACAGTGAAAACAGTGACAACAGTGACAACGGTGACAACAGTGACAATGGTGACAACAGTAACAACGGTGAGAACAGTGACAACGGTGACAACGGTGACAACGGTGACAACAGTGACAACAGTGACAACGGTGACAACGGTGACAACGGTGACAAAAGTGACAACAGTGAAAACGGTGACAACGGTGAGAACAGTGACAACGGTAAGAAGAGTAAGAAGAGTGACAACGGTGACAACAATGACATCGGTGACAATGGTGAGAACACTTAGAACGGTGGCAATGGTGACATAGGTGAAAATGGTGACAACAGTGACAACACTAGTGACAAGGGTAACAACAGTGACCACAAGGAGAACACTGACAATGGTGACAACAGTGACAACAGTTAACTGTTGACAACGGTGACAACAGTGACAAGGGTGACAACGGTGAAAACAGTGACAACAGTGACAAAAGTGAAACAGTGACAACGGTGACACTAGTGACAACAGTGACAACGGTGACAATGGTGACAATGGTGACAACAGTGACAACAGTGACAACAGTGACAACAATGGTGAAAACAGTGACAAAGTGGTGACAAGAGTGACAACAGTGACAATGATGACAAGTGTGTGACAACAGTGACAAAAGTGACAAGAGTGACAACGGTGACAACAGAGACAACAGTGACAACAGTGACAACGGTGACAACGGTGACAACAGTGACAACAGTGACAACGATGACAACAGTGACAACAGTGACAACGGTGACAACACTTAGAACGGTGACAATGGTGACAACAGTGACAACGGTGACTACAGTGACAACGGTGACAACACTTAGAACAGTGACAATAACGGTGACAATGGTGACGACAGTGACAACGGTGACAACGGTGAAAACAGTGACAACAGTGACAACGGAGACAACGGTGACAAGAGTGAGAAGAGCGAGAACGGTGACAACAGTGACAACGGTGACAACGGTGACAACAGTGACAACGGTGACAACGGTGACAACAGTGACAACGGTGACAACAGTGACAACGGTGACAACGGTGACAACAGTGACAACAGTGACAACGGTGACAACAGTGACAACGGTGACAACAGTGACAATGGTGACAACAGTGACAACAGTGACAACGGTAAAAACAGTGACAACAGTGACAACGGTGACAACGGTGACAACAGTGACAACGGTGACAACAGTGACAACGGTGACAACAGTAACAACAGTAACAACAGTGACAACAGTGACAACGGTGACAACAGTGACAACGGTGACAACAGTGACAATGGTGACAACAGTGACAACGGTGACTACAGTGACAACGGTGACAACGATGACAAGAGTGACAACAGTGACAACGGAGACAACGGTGACAAGAGTGAGAAAGACAACGGTGATAACAGTGACAACGGTGACAACGGTGACATCAGTTAGAACAATGACAACGGTGACAACACAGACAACAAAAACAAAGGTGACAACAGTGACAACGGTGACAACGGTGACAACAGTGACAACGGTGACAACAGTGACAACAGTGAGAATGGTGACAACAGTGAAAACGGTGACAACAGTGACAATGGTGACAATAGTGACAACAGTGAGAACGGTGACAACGGTGACAACGGTGACAAAAGTGACAACGGACAACAGTGAAAACAGTGACAACGGTGACAACAGTGACAACAACAATAACAACAGTGACAACGGGCAACAACGGTAACAACAGTGACAACGGTGACAACAGTGACAACGTTGACAATAGTGACAACGGTGACAATGGTGACAACAGTGACAACGGTGCCAACGGTGACAACAGTGACAACAGCGACAACGGTGACAACAGTGAGAACAGTGACAACAGTGACAACGGTGACAACATTGACAACGGTGACAAGGATGACAACGGTGACAACGATGACAATGGTAACAAAAGTAACAACAGTGACAACAGTGACAAGAGTGAGAAGAGTGACAACGGTGACAACGGTGACAACCGTGAAAACAGTGAAAACGGTGACAACGGTGAGAACAGTGACAACGGTTAGAAGAGTAAGAAGAGTGACAACGGTGATGACAGTGACAACGGTGACAACGGTGACATCAGTTAGAACAATGACAACGGTGACAACACAGACAACAAAGACAAAGGTGACAACAGCGAGAAAAGTGGCAACAGTGACAATGTAGACAACGATGACAACGGTGACAACAGTGACAACAGAGAGAATGGTGACAACGGTGCGAACAGTAACAACAGTGACAACAGCGACAACGGTGACAACAGTGACAACGGTGACAACGGTGACAACAGTGACAACGGTGAAAACAGTGACAATGGTGACAAGAGTGAGAAGAGTGACAACAGTGACAACAGAGACAACGGTGACCACAGTGACAACGGTGACAACACTTAGACCGGTCACAATGGTGACAACAGTGACAACGGTGACAACGGTGACCACACTTAGAACAGTGACAATGGTGACAATGGTGACAACAGTGACAAAGGTGAATACGGTGACAACAGTGACAAAAGGGAGAACACTGACAATGGTGACAACAGCGACAATGATGACAACAGTGACAAAAGTGAGAACAGTGACAACAGTTACAACGGGGACAACGGTGACAACAGTGAAAACGGTGACAACGGTGACAACAGTGATAACTGTGACAAGAGTGAGAAGAGTGACAACGGTGACAACGGTGACAATGGTGACAAAACTTAGAATGGTGACAATGGTGACAACAGTGACAACAGTGACAACGGTGACTACGGTGACAACGGTGACAACGATGACAACAGTGACAACGGTGACAACGGTGACAACAGTGACAACAGTGACAAAGGTGACAACGGTGACAACAGTGACAACAGTGAGGACCGTGAAAACAGTGACAACAGTGACAATGGTAACAATGGTGACAACGGTGACAATGGTGACATCGGTGATAACAGTGACAACAGTGAGATTGGTGACAACAGTGACAACGGTGACAACTGTGACAACAGTGAGAACGGTGACAACAATTGACATCGGTGACAACGGTGACAACAGTGAAAAAATGACAACGGTGACAACAGTGACAACGGTGAAAAAGGTGAAAACGGTGACAACAGACAACAAAGAACGGTGACAATAGTGACAACGGTGACAACGGTGACAACGGTGACAACGGTAACAACGGTGAAAATGGTGACAACGGTGACAACAGTGAGAAAAGTGAGCACAGTGACAACAGTGACAACAGTGACAACGGTGACAAGAGTGAGAAGAGTGACAACAGTGACAACAGTGACAACAGTGACGCCGGTGACAACAGTCAGAACTGTGAAAACGGTGACAACAGTGACAGCAGTGACAACGGTGACTACACTGACAACGGTGACAACAGTTACAACGGTGACAATGGTGACAACAGTGACAACGCTGACAATGGTGAAAACAGCGACAACCGTGACAACAGTGAGAACACTGAACACAGTGACAACGGTGAAAACAGTGACAGCAGTGACAACGGTGACAACAGTGAGAAAAGTGACAATGGTGATAACAGTGACAACGGTGACAACCGTTAGAATGGTGACATTATGGTGACAACAGTGACAACAGAGACAAAAGTGACTACAGTGACAACGGTGAGAACGGTGACAACTGTTAGAAGAGTGACAACAGTGACAACGGTGACTACAATGACAACGGTGAGAACAGTGACACTAGTGACAACGGTAACAACTGTGACAAAATGGAGAACAGTGACAATGGTGAAACCAGCGACAATGGTGACAACATTGACAACGGTGACATGGGTGACTAGGGTGACAACGGTCACAACGGTGACAAAAGTGACACTAGTGAGAACGGTAACAACTGTGAGAACAGGGAGAACACTGACAATGGTGACAACAGCGACAACGGTGACAACAGTGCAAACGGTGACAACAGTAAAAACGGTGACAACGGTGACATCAGTGATAACGGCGACAACAGTGACAACGGTGACAACGGTGTCAACGGTGACAACACTTAGAATGGTGACCATGGTGACAACAGTAAAATCAGTAATAACGGTGACTACAGTGACAACAGTGACGACGGCAACAATGGTGACAACAGTGACAACGGTGACAACGGTGACAATGGTGACAATGGTGACAACGATGACAACAGTGACAACGGTGACAGCGGTGACAAAAGTGACAACAGCGACAACGGTGACAACAGTGAGAACACTGAGAATAGTGACAACGGTGCCAACTGTGAAAACGTTGACAACGGTGACAACAGTTAGAACGGAGATAAAAGTGACAACATTGAGAACAGTGAAAAAGGTGACTACAGTGACAAGAGTTAAAACGGTGACAACAGTGACAACGGTGACAACAGTGACAACAGTGAGATTGGTGACAACAGTGACAACGGTAACATCGGTGACAACACTTAGAACGGTAACAACGGTGTCAACAGTGACAACAGTGACAACGGTGACAACCGTGACACTAGTGACAACCGTAACAACTGTGACAACAGGGGGAACACTGACAATGGTGACAAAAGCGACAATGGTGACAACAGTGACAACAGTGAGAATGCTGACAACAGTTACAATGGTGACACTGGTGACAACAGCAACAACGGTGACAACAGTGACAACAGTGAAAACGGTGACAACTGTGACAACAGTTACAACAGTGACAAAAGTCTCAACGGAGAAAACGGTAACAACAGTGACAACACTTAGAACGGTGACAACGGTGACAACAGTCACAACAGTCACAACGCTGACTACAGTGACAACAGCGACAACGGTGACAACAGTGACAACAGTGACAACGGTGACTATACTCCCAACGGTGAAAACGGTGACAACTGTTAGAATGGTGACAACAGTGACAACAGTGAGAACAGTGACAACGGCGACAAAGGTGACAACAGTGATAACAGTGACAACAGTGACAACAGCGACAACGGTGACAACAGTGAAAACGGTGAAAAAGGTGAAAACGGTGACAACAGTTAGAACGGTGGCAATAGTGACAACGGTAACAAGGGTGAAAATGGTAACAAAGGTGACAATGGTGACAATGGTGACAACAGTGACAACAGTGACAACGGTGACAACGGTGACAACGGTGACAAGAGTGAGAAGAGTGAAAACGGTCACAACAGTGACACCGGTGACAACAGTGACAGCAGTGACAACGGTGACTACTCTGACAACGGTGACAACGGTGACAACAAATACAACGGTGACAATGGTGACAACAGTGACAACGCTGACAACGGTGAGAACAACGACAACGGTGACAACAGTAAGAACACCGACAACAGTGACAACAGTGAAAACAGTGACCGCGGTGAAAACAGTGACAACGGTGAAAACAGTGAGAAAATTGACAATGGTGATAACAGTGACAACGGTAACAACAGTTAGAATGGTGACAGTGGTGACAACAGTGACAACAGAGACAAAAGTGACTACAGCGACAACGGTGAGAACGGTGGCAACTGTTAGAACAGTGACAACGGTGACAACAATGACAACGGTGAGAACAGTGACACTAGTGGCAATAGTAACAACTGTGACAAAACGGAGAACACTAACAATGGTGAAAAAAGCGACAATGGTGACAACAGTGACAACGGTGACATCGGTGACAACAGTGACAACGGTGACAAAAGTGACACTAGTGAGAACGGTAACAACTGTGACAACAGGGAGAACACTGACAATGGTGAAAACAGCGACAACGGTGACAACAGTGAGAATGGTGACAACATTAAAAACGGTGACAACGGTGACAACAGTGACAACGGTGTCAACGGTGACAACACTTAGAATGGTGACAACAGTGACAACAGTCACAACGGTGACTACAGTGACAACAGTGACAACGGCAACAACGGTGACAACAGTGACAATGGTGATAACGGTTACAAAAGTGACAACAGCGACAATGGTGAAAATGGTGACAACGATGACAACAGTGACAACAGTGACAGCGGTTACAAAAGTGACAACAGCGACAACGGTGACAACAGTGAGAACAGTGAGAACAGTGACAATGGTGACTACAGTGCCAACTGTGAAAACGTTGACAACCGTGACAACAGTTACAATGGTGATAATGGTGACAACACTCACTACAATGACAAAGGTGACGACAGTAACAACAGTGACATCGGTAAAAACGGTGACAGTGGTGACAACGGTGACAACGGTGACAACAGTGAGAACAGTGAGCATAATGACAACAGTGACAACGGTGACAACCGTGACAAGAGTGAGAAGAGTGACAACGATGACAACAGTTAGAACGGTGACAACAATGACAACAGTGACAACAGTGACAACGGTGACTACAGTGACAAAGGTGACAACAGTGAAAACGGTGACAACACTTATAACGGTGAAAATGGTGAGAACAGTGACAACACTGACAATGGTGACAACAGTGACAACAGTGACAACGGTGACAACGGCAACAACGGTGACAACAGTGAGAACAGTGAGCACAGTGACAACAGTGACAACAGTGAAAACAGTGACAACGGTGACAAGAGTGAGACGAGTAAAAACGGTGACAACAGTGACACCAGTGACAACAGTTAGAACGGTGACAACGGTGACAACAGTGACAACAATGACAAAGGTGACAAAAGTAGCAACAGTGACAAGGCTGACAACAGTGATAACGGTGACAACCGTGACAAAAGAAACGACAGTCAAAACAGCGACAACAGTCACAACGGTGACAATAGTTACATTGGTGACAACAGTGACAATGCTGACAACAGTAATAACAATGAAAACAGTGACAACACTGACAACAGTAAGAAGAGTGACAACGGTGAGAACAGTTAGAACGGTGACAACGGTGAAAACAGTGACAATAGTGACAATGGTGAGTACAGTGACAACGGTGACAACGGTGACAAGAGTGACAACGGTGAGAACAAATAGAACGGTGACAACGGTGACAAGAGTGACAACGGTGACAATGGTGATATAGGTAAAATGGTGACAACAGTGACACTAGTGACAAGGGTAACAACTGTGACCACAAGGAGAACACTGACAATGGTGACAATAGCGACAACAGTTAACTGTTGTCATTGACAACAGTTAGAAGGGTGAAAACAGTGAAAACAGTGACAACAGTGACTAAAGTGAAACCAGTGATAACGGTGACACTAGTGACAACCGTAACAACTATGACAACACTGACAATGGTGACAACAGCGACAATAGTGACAACAGTGACAACAATGGTGAAAACAGTGACAACGGTGACAAGAGTGACAACAGTGACAATGATGACAACTGTGACAACAGTTACAAAAGTGACAAGAGTGACAACGGAGACAACAGAGACAACAGTGACAACACTTAGAACGGTAAGGACGGTGACAACAGTGACAACAGTCACAACGATGACTACAGAGACAACAGCGACAACGGTTACAACAGCGAGAACAGTGACAACGGTGAGAACGGGGACAACGGTAACAACAGTGACAACGGTGACAACAGTGACAATGGTGACAACAGTGAAAATGGTGACAATGATGACAACAATGACAACGGTGACAACAGTGACAACAGCGACAACGGTGAGAAGATTGACAAAAGTGAAAACAGTGCAACAGTGACTACAGTGCCAACAGTGAAAACGGTGACAACGATGACAACAGTTAAAACGATGATAACGGTGACCACACTTAGAACGGTGACAACGGTGACAACAGTCACAACGGTGACTACAGTGAAAATAGCGACAACGGTGACAACAGTGAGAACAGTGAGAACAGTGACAACGGTGATAACGGTGACAAGAGTGAGAAGAGTGACAACGGTGACAACAGTGACAATGGTGACAATAGTGAGAACAGGCACAAAAGTGACTACAGTGAAAACGGTGAAAACGGTGACAACTGTTAGAAGAGTGACAACGGTGACAACAGTGAGAACAATGACAAAGGTGACAACAGTGACAACAGTGAAAATGCTGACAACAGTAACAACGGTGACAACCGTGACAAAAGAAGCAACAGTGACAACAGCGACAACGGTGACAACAGTGACAACGGTAAGAATAGTTACAACGGTGACAACCGTGACAACGGTGATTACACTGACAATGGTGACAACGGTGACTACAGTGAAAACAGTGACAAGAGTGACAACGGTCACAGCAGTGAAACCGGTGAGAACAGTGACACTAGTGACAACCATAACAACTGTGACAACAGGTAGAACGCTGACAATGGTGAGAACAGCGACAATCGTGATAACAGTGACAACAGTGAGAACGGTGACATAAGTTACAACGGTGACAATGGTGACAACAATGACAACCGTGACAACAGTGACAACGGTGACAACAGTTACAACAGTGACAAGAGTGACAACGGAGACAACAAAGACAAGAGTGACAACACTTAGAACGGTGACAACGGTGACAACACCGACAACAGTCACAACGGTCACTACAGTGACAACAGCAACTATAGTGAAAACAGTGAGAACAGTGAGAACAGTGACAACGGTGACTACAGTTAGAACGGTGACAACAGAACAACAATGACAAAGGTGACAACAGTGAGAACAGTGACAACGGTGACAACGGCAACAACGGTGACAACAGTAACAACGGTGAGAACAGTGACAATGGTGACAACAGTGACAATGCTGACAACAGTCACAACAGTGACAACGGTGACAACACTGACAACAGTGAAAACAGTGACAACGGTGACAACAGTTAGAACGGTGACAACAGTTACAACGGTGACAACAGTGAGAATGGCGGCAACGGTGACAACAGTGACAACGATGACAAAAAATAGTAACAACGGTGAGAACAGTGACAACAGTGTCAACGGTGACAACTGTGACAATAGTGACAACGGTGACAATGGCGACAAGAGTGAGAAGAGTGACAACAGTGACAACGGTGACAACAGTGACAATGAAGACAACACTTAGAACGGCGACAATGGTGACAACAGTGACAGCAGTGAAGGTGGTGACTACAGTGACAACGGTGATAACACTTAGAACGGTGACAATGGTGACAACGGTGACAACAGTGACAACAGTGACAACGGTGACAACAGTGAAAACAGTGACAACAGTGACAATGGTGACAACAGTGCAAAAAGTGACAACAGTGACAATGGAGACAACGGTGACAAGACTGAGAGGAGTGACAACGGTGACAACACTGACAACGGTGACAACAGTGACAACCGCGACAACGGTGACAACGGTGAGAAGAGTGACAACAGTGACAACAGTGACCATGGTGACAACAGTGACAACGGTGACAATGGTGACAATGGTGAAAATGGTGACAAAAGTGACAACGGCGATAACGGTGACAGCGGTGACAACAGTGACAACGGTGACAACCGTGACAACAGTGACAACAGCGACAACGGTGACAACGGTGAGAAGAGTAACAACAGTGACAACAGTGACAACGGTGACAACAGTGACAACGGTGACAATGGTGACAATAGTGAAAACGGTGAAAACGGTGACAACAGTGACAACGGTGATAACGGTGACAACGGCGACAACAGTGACAACGGTGGCAATGGTGAATATAGTGAAAACGGTGACAACAGTGACAACGGTTAGAACGGTGACCACAGTGACAATGTTGAGAACTGTGACAACGGTGTTAACACTTAGAACGGTGACAATGGTGACAACAGTGACAACGGTGACAATGGTGACAACGGTGACAGAAGTGACAACAGTGAAAACAGTGACAATAGAGACAACAGTGACAAGAGTGAGAAGAGTGACAACAGTGACAACAGTGACAACGGTGACAACGGTGACAACAGTGACAACGTTGAGAACTATGACAAGAGTGACTATGAAGACAACGGTGACAACAGTCACAACGGTGACAACTGTGACAAAAGTTACAACAGTGACAAGAGTGAAAACGGTGACAACGGTGACAAAAGTGACAACAGCGATAATGGTGACAACAGTGAAAAAGCTGACAACAGTCACAACGGTGACAAGGGTGACAACAGTAACGACAGCGAAAACAACGACAACGGTGACAACGGTGACACAGTTATAACGGTGACAACAGTGACAACAGCGACAACGGTGAGAAGATTGACAAAAGTGAAAACAGTGCAACAGTGACTACAGTGCCAACAGTGAAAACGGTGACAACGATGACAACAGTTAAAACGATGATAACGGTGACAACACTTAGAACGGTGACAACAGTCACAACGGTGACTACAGTGAAAATAGCGACAACGGTGACAACAGTGAGAACAGTGAGAACAGTGACAACGGTGATAACGGTGACAAGAGTGAGAAGAGTGACAACGGTGAAAACAGTGACAATGGTGACAACAGTGAGAACAGGCACAAAAGTGACTACAGTGAAAACGGTGAGAACGGTGACAACTGTTAGAAGAGTGACAACGGTGACAACAGTGACAACAATGACAAAGGTGACAACAGTGACAACAGTGAAAATGCCGACAACGGTAACAACGGTGACAACCGTGACAAAAGAAGCAACAGTGACAACAGCGACAACGGTGACAACAGTGACAACGGTAAGAATAGTTACAACGGTGACAACCGTGACAACGGTGATTACAGTGACAATGGTGACAACAGTAATGACAGTGAAAACAGTGACAACAGTGACAACGGTGACAATGGTGACAATAGTGACAACGTTGAAAACGGAGACAACAGTGAGAAGAGTGACAATGATGACAACGGTGATAACGGTGACAACGGTGACAACAGTGACAACAGTGAGAACGGTGACTACAGTAACAACGGTGACAACGGTGACAAGGGTAAGAACGGTGACAACAGTTAAAACGGTGATATCGGTGAAAACGGTGACAACAGTGACACTAGTGACAACGGTAACAACTGTGACAACAGTTAACCGTTGTCATTGACAACAGTTAGAAAGGTGACAACGGTGACAACAGTAACAACGGTGACAACGGTGACTACAGTGAAAACAGTGACAACAGTGACAACGGTCACAGCAGTGAAACCGGTGAGAACAGTGACACTAGTGACAACCATAACAACTGTGACAACAGGTAGAACGCTGACAATGGTGAGAACAGCGACAATCGTGATAACAGTGACAACAGTGAGAACGGTGACATAAGTTACAACGGTGACAATGGTGACAACAATGACAACCGTGACAACAGTGACAACGGTGACAACTGTGACAACAGTTACAACAGTGACAAGAGTGACAACGGAGACAACAAAGACAAGGGTGACAACACTTAGAACGGTGACAACGGTGACAACAGCGACAACAGTCACAACGGTCACTACAGTGACAACAGCAACTATAGTGAAAACAGTGAGAACAGTGAGAACAGTGACAACGGTGACTACAGTTAGAACGGTGACAACAGAACAACAATGACAAAGGTGACAACAGTGAGAACAGTGACAACGGTGACAACGGCAACAACGGTGACAACAGTAACAACGGTGAAAACAGTGACAATGGTGACAACAGTGACAATGCTGACAACAGTCACAACAGTGACAACGGTGACAACACTGACAACAGTGAAAACAGTGACAACAGTGACAACAGTTAGAACGGTGACAACAGTTACAACGGTGACAACAGTGAGAATGGCGGCAACGGTGACAACAGTGACAACGGTGACAAAAAATAGTAACAACGGTGAGAACAGTGACAACAGTGTCAACGGTGACAACTGTGACAATAGTGACAATGGCGACAAGAGTGAGAAGAGTGACAACAGTGACAACGGTGACAACAGTGACAATGATGACAACACTTAGAACGGCGACAATGGTGACAACAGTGACAGCAGTGAAGGCGGTGACTACAGTGACAACGGTGATAACACTTAGAACGGTGACAATGGTGACAACGGTGACAACAGTGACAACAGTGACAACGGTGACAACAGTGAAAACAGTGACAACAGTGACAATGGTGACAACAGTGCAAAAAGTGACAACAGTGACAATGGAGACAACGGTGACAAGACTGAGAGGAGTGACAACGGTGACAACACTGACAACGGTGACAACAGTGACAACCGCGACAACCGTGACAACGGTGACAACCGCGACAACGGTGACAACGGTGAGAAGAGTGACAACAGTGACAACAGGGACAGTGGTGACAACAGTGACAACGGTGACAATGGTGACAATGGTGAAAATGGTGACATAAGTGACAACGGCGATAACGGTGACAGCGGTGACAACAGTGACAAAGGTGACAACCGTGACAACAGTGACAACAGCGACAACGGTGACAACGGTGAGAAGAGTAACAACAGTGACAACAGTGACAACGGTGACAACAGTGACAACGGTGACAATGGTGACAATAGTGAAAACGGTGAAAACGGTGACAACAGTGACAACGGTGATAACGGTTACAACGGTGACCACAGTGACAATGTTGAGAACTGTGACAATGGTCACTACTAGGAGTATGTACGTGAAACACCATGTGAAAAACGTGTGAAAAATGTCCTGTTTTCACTCTCATTTCACATGTTTTTCACACGTTTTTCACACACTTTTCACATGCATTTCACACACATATTTCACATGCATGTGAAATTTTGCATAGTGAAATATATGTGAAAAGGGTGTGAAACGATGTCAACCCTTTCACACACATTTTCACATACACTTCACATGGGGTTTCACACAGGCTTTCACATGTCAATCCTCATTTAAATTCACACATATTTTCATACACTTCACATGGGGTTTCACATAGGCTTTCACATGTACTTAATCCTCACTGAATGGCAAAACATCCAGTAATTCACACATTATTTCACATACACTTCACATGGGGTTTCACATGAGCTTTCACATGTAAAGCCTCAGTGATCCGAGATCATCAATGGCTATGGAATTTCACTACCCTGCGAGCGTAAACAAACCAACTACGCAACAGACAATTACAACAAAACTTTTTAATATCATACTCACTTTTTATACCTTTAATTTCTACATCAATAAAATAACTAATAATATACTAATTTTTGGTTAGAAATATTTCTTGTAAATTGTAATAATTATGATAGTAAATGACGTGATAGCCGATTTGCAATTTCCACTTATTAAGGTATACAAATGTGTATACTAAGTTACAGAAAAGCAATCTAGCACTCAATGTCAGTGAAAAGACAAAGTAAATAAGCATCTTCAGGGTTGTCATTAAGAGCCGGGGGCCGGGGATTTTCCCCGGCTACTAAGAGAGTGGCCCCCGGCTACTTTTATTGGAAAACAGAAGAAAAATACAACCAAAAGAAATCCCTAGCCGTTTGATTCCCCGCCTACTTGTTGTGTTTACCCGGCAACTTGAAATCTTAGTGACAACTCTGCATCTTTGAATAATACAAGCATGTATATGGAAAAAAATAATGCTAAATGACTGCTTCTTTACAAGTCGCTGAACAGCTTTCTGAACTGAAGGTCCACACATCAGACTAGATAGAGGTGCCTTTTATTTTTGACCTTATTGCAGACGTATGAATATTATGAATCGAAGCTCAAATAAACAAACCTACTCAAATTTTAATAAACTTCAGAGTTGAACTAACCCTATAAATTATAGGGTTAGTTCAACTCTGAAGTCATTATAAATTAACTGGAAACTTAATTGCTTCCAACTTGTAGTAGACATTGCATGCATATCGGAAACTTATGCTATTTCTTCTTTTATTTTATTTAACATTGGTCTTGACAAGTGTGCCACAGCCTACTAGCGCCAGAACATAAAATTTTTAGAGTATTCCATTGACGATTTGCAACAAAGAGTACAGTTTTTTCTGCAGTAAACAAAAAGGAATCAATCAATGGCATATCTGTACATGCATCTTAAATGTAAGATGTATCTTTGAAGGTTTAAGCTTCGTAAAGTTATTGGAAAACCAAAGTAAGCTTATGTTAGCGAACCACGATAACAAGAACATACCTTTGTGCAATAATCCAGCTGAGTTGCTGACTTGGAAACATGCGTTATGTGAAGAAGTTCGCAATTGATCACTTTCTCTCGAAAATAACACGCGCATTATTGAAAGACAGTCTTTCTATTTATCCGAAAGTAACGAAACTATTCTGTTTGCAAAGCTGTGTTGCTTGTGAAGTCCGCGTGAATTTGAACTTCATTTTACAATTTTCTATTGGTTCAAAAGTCCCACGTGACATCGTAAATCAAATCGCGCATGTGCTGAAATCACGGGGAAGCCTGGGAAACAACAAACATGGCGGCTAATCTTGCGATGGAGAAAGTGCACTCGTTTGAGTCGAAAAAGCGGTTATTTTCAGCATTGATTAGAATATTCCAGCGCATTTGAAGTGTTAGAAGCAAGAAAAAAACTTAACATTGTTCTTTCAAGTTGGGGAACCGTTGAAAAATGCTGGACTTCACTACATGAATCAAAGTTGTACGTGTTGTGGACGTTGTTCATGTTAGACAAGCTCAGGTACGGAAAGCTGATTGAACCAAAGACAACTTAAGCAAATCAAGAGCATGCCAGTTATTTGCTTCAAGGAATCATTCGTTGAACGAACGGTATCAAAAGAAAACTCAAAAAGCATGCAAAGCAATGCAAGGAACTGTTCGCATGTTCAAGTGGACTTTCAACTTTACAACGAGGAACGTTACAGTAAGAAACAAAAGATTCATAAAGTGTAGTTACATATGTCGTATATATTAGCAAAGTTAGTTTTTTGATGGAGTAATAAAATTAAGTCCGTTTTGTCCTCAATGAAGATCTGTGGAAAGAATGGTTTAATCCTCAGGATTTAGCCCTCCTCACTTAACAAAAATCTTGGTACACATCTTTCTGGGTGGAAACCAAGTGGTAAGATACACAACCCACATATTTAGATGAGACAGTTGATAAAATACATAAATTTATGTAGCATATTCTAGCAAACAATGAAGACAATAATTATATTTGTAAAGGTGCACATTTGGATTGGATACTTGATAGATTTTAATCAAGCCAAATCTAATGAAGAATGTACAGAGCATTCAGGGGTTTCAAAATGTTTTGAAGTAGGCGCCAACTCTGGAAAAGCAGGCGGCTGTGACAATCGAGATTGTCTGTCACGAGCTAATTGTTATGACCAGCATAGCCGGTGATATACAGTTGAGTAGCCGGCAGAACTCTGGTCGCCGGCTTGTGTATTTACTAATAATCAGTACAGTTATTGACTGAGATCTGGTTGCAAGCTAGATCGTGAAAAGAGCTTTGAACATTAATTCCAGTCCGCTGCTTTACAAGAGGGCTCCTCTGGGGCTTGGCACTTTGGTATATTGGGGTTCGCCTGTAATGGTGATGATGATGATGATTTGTAACAGCATGTTTGTTGTGATCACTTGCCTTAAAGGTCTGACGCATTATAGTATGGCGAATTTTCTAGGTTAACAACTTATCAAATCTTATTTTTCAAAAATTCATGACCCTCGTAGTCAACTTAGTTTGATATTTATCAGCCATAAGCCATAGAATGCTAGATGTGGTGTGTGTCTTGGATTATCAATGGCCCATGAGACCAAGGAGCACCTTTCATAGAAAATTCATGGCCAGAAATAAAGGCATGAAATTTAATTTTTTAGTTTTCATGGGTCATGAAATGACTTTCATGGGGTATTCACTAGAAATTCATGGCATTTTCATAAAAATATGGTTCATAGTGGTTGTATTTAACAAGCCCTGAAAAAAATTCACATGCTCACTCTGACATGCCTAAAAGTGTTCACATGCATGTGAAAAATTTCACATACATAGCATCTATTATGCATGTGAAATTTGAAATTCACATGTATGACAAAATTGTTTCACATGCCTGAAAAGATTTCACATGTAATAAACTGCATGGGAAAAAAGTTCACACATATGACAAAAATTTTTCACATGTATTACAAAGTTTCACACGCATGTCAAAAAGTTCACATGCATGTGAAATGCTGATGTGGTGAACTTGTATTTTTGCCAACATTGATTTCACATGGTTCCTTTTTTTCACACACTTTTCACACCCTTTTCACATGATTTTCACACACATAGCCCTAGTAGTGGGTGTTAACACTTAGAACGGTGACAATGGTGACAACAGTGACAACGGTGACAATGGTGACAACGGTGACAACGGTGACAGAAGTGACAACAGTGAAAACAGTGACAATAGAGACAACAGTGACAAGAGTGAGAAGAGTGACAACAGTGACAACAGTGACAACGGTGACAACGGTGACAACAGTGACAACGTTGAGAACTATGACAAGAGTGACTATGAAGACAACGGTGACAACAGTCACAACGGTGACAACTGTGACAAAAGTTACAACAGTGACAAGAGTGAAAACGGTGACAACGGTGACAAAAGTGACAACAGCGATAATGGTGACAACAGTGAAAAAGCTGACAACAGTCACAACGGTGACAAGGGTGACAACAGTAACGACAGCGAAAACAACGACAACGGTGACAACGGTGACACAGTTATAACGGTGACAACAGTGACAACGGTGATAGCGGTGACAGCAGAGACAACGGTGACAAGAGTGTCAATGGTGACAACAGTGACAGCAGTGACAACAACGACAACGGTGACAACAGTTACAACGGTGACAACAGTGACAACGGTGAGAACGGTGACAACAGTGAGAACGGTGACAACGGTGACAACAGTGACAAGAGCGATAACGGTGACAACAGTGACAATGCTGACAACAGTGAAAACAGTAACAACAGTGACAACGGTGACAATAGTGACAATGATGAGAACGGTGACAAGAGTGAGAAGAGTGACAAAGGTGATAATAGTGACAACGGTAATAACGGTGACAACAGTTAGAACGGTGACAACGGTGACAACAGTGACAACAGTGACTACAGTCTAAACGGTGATAACGGTGATACCCGTTAGAACGGTGACAACGGTGACAAAAGTGACAATGATGACAAAGGTGACAACTGTGACAACAGTGACAACGGTGACAACAGTGACGATGGTGACAACAGTGACGATGGTGACAACGGTAAGAATGGTGACAACGATGACAACGGTGACAACAGCCACAATGGTGAAAACAGTGACAGCGGTGACATGAGTTACAACGGTAACAACGGTGACAAGAGTGACAACGGTGACAACGGTGACAACAGTGACAAAAGCGAGAACACTGAAAATGGTGACAAAAGCGACACTGGCAATAACGGTAACAAAAGTGAGAACAGCGACAATAGTTACAACGGTGACAACAGCGAAAACGGTGATAACAGTGACAACATTGACAACGGTGACAACAGTGATAACGGTGACAACAGTGAAAAGAGTGACAACGGTCACAACGGTGACAATGGTGACAAGAGTGACACCAGTGACAACGGTGACTACAGTGACAAAGGTGAGAACGGTGACAACTGTGACAACAGTGACAACGTTGACAACGGTGACAACAGTGACAACGGTGAAAACGGTGACAACAGTGACAACAGTGACAAGGAGACAACGGTGACAAGAGTGAGAAGAATGACAACGGTGACAACCGTGACAACGGTGACAACACTTAGAAGAATGACAATGGTGACAACAGTGACAACAAAGACAAAGGTGACAACAGTGACAACACTAACAACAGTGACAACGGTGACAACGATGACAACGGTGACAACAGTGAGAATGGTGACAACAGTGACAACGGTGACAACAGTGACAATGGTGACCACGGTGACAACACTTAGAACGGTGACAATGGTGACAATAGTGACAACAGTGACAACGGTGACTACAGTGATAACGGTGACAACGGTGATAACACTTAGAACATGTGACAATGGTGACAACGGTGACAACAGTAACAACAGTGACAACTGTGACAATAGTGAAAACAGTGACAACAGTGACAACGGTGACAAAAGTGACAATAGTGACAACAGAGACAACGGTGACAAGAGTGAGAAGAGTGACAAGAGTGACAACAGTGACAACGGTGACATCAGTGACAACGGTGACAACAGTGACAACGGTGTCAACTGTGACAACAGTGACAACGGTGACAACGGTGAGAAGAGTGACAACAGTGACAACAGTAAGAACGGTGAAAACAGTGACAACGGTCACAACGGTGACAAGAGTGAGAAGAGTGACAACAGTGACAACGGTGACAACAGTGACAATGGTGACCACGGTGACAAGACTTAGAACGGTGACAATGGTGACAATAGTGACAATAGTGACAACGGTGACTACAGTGATAACGGTGACAACGGTGATAACACTTAGAACATGTGACAATGGTGACAACGGTGACAACAGTAACAACAGTGAAAACCGTGACAATAGTGAAAACAGTGACAACAGTGACAACGGTGACAACGGTGACAAAAGTGAAAACAGTGACAACGGAGACAACGGTGACAAGAGTGAGAAGAGTGACAACAGTGACAACAGTGACAATGGTGACATCAGTGACAACGGTGACAACAGTAACAACGGTGTCAACTGTGACAACAGTGACAACGGTGACAACGGTGAGAAGAGTGACAACAGTGACAACAGTAAGAACGGTGAAAACAGTGACAACGGTCACAATGGTGACAACACTTAGAACGGTAACAATGGTGACGACAGCGACAACAGTGACAACAGTGAGAAAAGTGACAACGATGACAAGGGTGATAACACTTAGAACGGTGACAATGGTGACAACGGTGACAACAGTAACAACAGTGACAACAGTGACAACGATGACAATGGTGACAACGGTGACAACGGTGACATCAGTGACAATGGTGACAAGAGTGACAACGGTGACAACAGTGACAACAGTGACAACGATGACAACGGTGACAACGGTGACAACGGTGACAACAGTGACAAC